ACAGTTAATGGAGAGTTTAGGAAAATTAGGAATTAGGTTCAAGCAGAATGGACAAACTACAAAGAAAGATGATTCAGTAGAAGAAAACATTTGCTCTCATAGAATCTCCTTCCTCGAGGACAAACCCTAACCCTAACCCTAGCCTATATATTATAGAAACAAATATATATTTGCATGTGAAAATGTCATGGGATGCATTTGCTCCATTGAGTCCCCTATTTGGTTCCACTTTACTTGAACCCTATGTCATAAGGTCTAAATAAAACTGTTATAATCATGATACAACAGATTAACAGTCCTAACTAGCCTAATGGTGTGATCTTATGCTAACTGACTTCACATAGTTATAATAGCCTACCTTTATGAAATGAATACAACACAAGATCTATCATCATAACCAAGAGACTATAGGACCTATGTTAGTCCAAGTTTCATTCACAGGAAACTTGGTGAATAGATGAGACAATGGCTTCAAATCATGTTTTAAAAAGTAATTGCTCTCATGGAATGTTACTCTTTAAATACAGATATTGTGATGATGATAGGCTACAGACTTTGGTGTCTGCACAAAGGCTAGAGTGTGACTTTTAACATGCACGCTTCTTCTTCAACCAAGAAATTGCCATAACCATAGAGATCCTGTTCTAATTCCTAATTCCATGGCCATAATAACATACGCCTATGATGTTGTGCTAAAGTGAGTTTAGAATAAAATTTTAAAGCAAAACTCTACTTCAAAGTGTACTATAATTAATATTCCAAATTAGTAATGTGATGTAAAATGTTTGTAGATGCCATCACGATACATAACATAACAGCATTATCAAAAAATGTTTTAAACAATTGCGTTGTCGAGAAGGAACCTGCAAGTAAGCATATCTACTAAAACATTAAACATTTTTTTTGTAATAGGCAAGAACAGTCAACACAGAACTGGCAATTATAGCCTATCGTCCAAAAGTTAAATGTCCTACTTTTCCAGTGAACTTTCCGGATAAATCAGCTATCCAATTTTCCACAGACGTCAAAGATGGTATTATGGAGTTATTTCCTTCACTATGAAAACGTTCCTTGCGAACCAAGATGTGAGAGGCAGTCCCAATGCGCGTTCTTCGAAGAGAAGTGGCGTATATTACACGCGGATAAATGGGAAATGAACTTTCCGGGGCAATATGCTAGGAATGTGACTTAAAGAAACAGTCAGTTAATATACGAAATTAATCTTACGAATACGAACACAATGTTCACCTCTCTTTGGAGTACAAGGCTAAATAGGCAACAGTGTGGCATGAAGTCTACTGTAGTAATTTGATAAGCCTATTATTGGCTGCTGCAGACAGTCAAATCCTTGCAGGCTTTATGTCTGTTATTCATCACCCCAAACCAACCCCCTCTTTTACGCTGCTGCTACTCGGTTTATTATTTATGCAGTCACTTTAACTCTAACCGGTGCTCCCTCACACTGACTCTGTACCGGTAATCCCTGTATATAGCCTCCCTACTGTTATTGTATTTTACTACTGCTCTTCAATTATTTGCAATTTTGTATTTTTTACTTAACACTTTATTTTTTCTTTTCTTAAAAACTGCATTATTGGTTAAGGGCTTGTAAGTAAGCATTTCACTGTAAGGTCTACACCTGTTGTATTCTGCGCATGTGGCAAATACATTTTGATTTGATATATACACTGCTCAAAAAAATAAAGGGAACACTTAAACAACACATCCTAGATCTGAATGAATGAAATAATCTTATTAAATACTTTTTTCTTTACATAGTTGAATGTGCTGACAACAAAATCACACAAAAATTATCAATGGAAATCAAATGTATCAACCCATGGAGGTCTGGATTTGGAGTCACCCTCAAAATTAAAGTGGAAAACCACACTACAGGCTGATCCAACTTTGATGTAATGTCCTCAAAACAAGTCAAAATGAGGCTCAGTAGTGTGTGTGGCCTCCACGTGCCTGTATTACATTTACATTTTAGTCATTTAGCAGACGCTCTTATCCAGAGCGACTTACATGAGCAATTAGGGTTAAGTGCCTTGCTTAAGGGCACATCGACAGATTTTTCACCTAGTCGGCTCGGGAATTAGAACCAGCGACCTTTAGGTTACTGCTGACACACTCCGGCCACATGAGGTCTAGCATTGTCTTGCATTAGGAGGAACCCAGGGCCAACCGCACCAGCATATGGTCTCACAAGGGGTCTGAGGATCTCATCTCGGTACCTAATGGCAGTCAGGCTACCTCTGGCGAGCACATGGAGGGCTGTGCGGCCCCCCAAAGAAATGCCACCCCACACCATGACTGACCCACCGCCAAACCGGTCATGCTGGAGGATGTTGCAGGCAGCAGAACGTTCTCCACGGCATCTCCAGACTCTGTCACGTCTGTCACGTGCTCAGTGTGAACCTGCTTTCATCTGTGAAGAGCACAGGGCGCCAGAGGCGAATTTGCCAATCTTGGTGTTCTCTGGCAAATGCCAAACGTCCTGCACGGTGTTGGGCTGTAAGCACAACCCCCACCTGTGGACGTCGGGCCCTCATACCACTTTCATGGAGTCTGTTTCTGAACGTTTGAGCAGACACATGCACATTTGTGGCCTGCTGGAGGTCATTTTGCAGGGCTCTGGCAGTGCTCCTCCTGCTCCTCCTTAAACAAAGGCGGAGGTAGCGGTCCTGCTGCTGGGTTGTTGCCCTCCTACGGCCTCCTCCACGTCTCCTGATGTACTGGCCTGTCTCCTGGTAGCGCCTCCATGCTCTGGACACTACGCTGACAGACACAGCAAACCTTCTTGCCACAGCTCGCATTGATGTGCCATCCTGGATGAGCTGCACTACCTGAGCCACTTGTGTGGGTTGTAGACTCCGTCTCATGCTACCACTAGAGTGAAAGCACCGCCAGCATTCAAAAGTGACCAAAACATCAGCCAGGAAGCATAGGAACTGAGAAGTGGTCTGTGGTCACCACCTGCAGAACCACTTCTTTATTGGGGGTGTCTTGCTAATTGCCTATAATTTCCACCTGTTGTCTATTCCATTTGCACAACAGCATGTGAAATGTATTGTCAATCAGTGTTACTTCCTAAGTGGACAGTTTGATTTCACAGAAGTGTGATTGACTTGGAGTTACATTGTGTTGTTTAAGTGTTCCCTTTATTTTTTTGAGCAGTGTATATATACACACACACACTACCAGTCAAAAGTTTTAGAACACCTACTCATTCAAGGGTTTTTCTTTATTTTTACTATTTTCTACATTGTAGAATAATAGTGAAGACATCAAAACTATGAAATGACACATATGGAATCATGTAGTAACCAAAAAGGTGTTTTATATTTGAGATGCTTCAAATAGCCACCCTTTGCCTTGATGACAACTTTGCATACTCTTGGCATTCTCTCAACCAGCTTCACCTGGAATGCTTTTCCAACAGTCTTGAAGGAGTTCCCACATATGCTGAGCACTTGTTGGCTGCGTTTCCTTCACTCTGCTGTCCGACTCATCCCAAACCATCTCAATTGGGTTGACGTCGGGGGATTGTGGAGGCCAGGTCATCTGATGCAGTACTCCATCACTCTCCTTCCTGGTAAAATAGCCCTTACACAGCCTGGAGGTGTGTTGGGTCATTGTCCTGTTGAAAAACAAATGATAGTCCCACTAAGCCCAAACCAGATGGGATGGCGTATCACTGCAGAATTATGTGGTAGCCATGCTGGTTAAGTGTGCCTTGAATTCTAAATAAATCACAGACAGTGTCACCAGCAAAGCACCCCCACACCATAACACCTCCTCCTCCATGCTTTACGGTGGGAACCACACACGCGGAGATCGTCCGCTCACCCACACCGCGTCTCACAAAGACACAGTGGTTGGAACCAAAAATCTCAAATTTGGACTCCAGACCAAAGGACAAATTTCCACCGGTCTAATGTCCATTGCTTGTGTTTCTTGGCCCAAGCAGGTCTCTTATTCTTATTGGTGTCCTTTAGTAGTGGTTTCTTTGCAGCAATTCGACCATGAAGGCCTGATTCACTCAGTCCCCTCTGAACAGTTGATGTTGAGATGTGTCTGTGACTTGAACTCTGTGAAGCATTTATTTAGGCTGCAATTTTTGAGGCTGTTAACTCTACTGAACTTATCCTCTGCAGCAGAGGTAACTCGGGGTCTTCCATTCCTGTGGCGGTCCTCATGAGAGCCAGTTTCATCATAGCACTTGATGGTTTTTGCGACTGCACTTGAAGAAACGTTCAAAATTATTGAAATTTTCCGTATTGACTGATCTCCATTTCTTAAAGTAATGATGGACTGTCGTTTCTCTTTGCTTATTTGAGCTGTTCTTGCCATTATATGGACTTGGTCTTTTACCAAATAGGGCTATCTTCTGCATACCCCCCTACCTTGTCACAACACAACTGATTGGCTCAAACGCATTATGAAGGAAAGAAATTCCACAAATTAACTTTTAAGAAGGCACATCTGTTAATTGAAATGCATTCCAGGTGACTACCTCGTGAAGCTGGTTGAGAGAATGCCAAGAGTGTGCAAAGCTGTTATCAAGGCAAAGGATGGCTATTTGAAGAATCTCAAATATATTTTGATTTGTTTAACACTTTTTTGGTTACTACATGATTCCATATATGTTATTTCATAGTATTGATGTCTTCACTATTATTCTACAATGTAAAACATTGTAAATAATAAAGAAAAAGCCTTGAATGAGTAGGTGTGTCCAAACTTTTGACTGGTACTGTATATACACGCACGCACGCACGCACGCACGCACGCACGCACACACACACTTACATATAGTACTAAATTGCTGTATAGGCCTATATAATAATAAAATGTGAATGATGAGAATTACAGCTTTTCTATATTTGCAAACAAACTACAATGAGCCCATAATCAAAGTACATTTAAAATGCATTCTTATGCAAACGGTGCATTAGGTTTAGACCAAAAACAACAGTTTATGTAAACGACTAACCTCCAGATCAAATCACAATTTATTTAAAGTGCATTTAACAAAAGCCTCACAATTATTATTTTTTATAATAAAATCATACAAATGTGATGTATAGCATGCTTCCAGAGTCTCCTGTATTAGAAGCATTATACACAACTCAAAAGCTCCATCCTTTACATTGACATTTGGAGATGCTAGAGAAGGATTCCCTTCCCTTCATAGATTTCCCTCAAAAGCAGCAGCACAGTATCCTCGGAATCCCTGAAACACACAAGAAAACATGAGATAACTGCAGAAAGCTAAAGAAAACATGTAAGATACCAACCCTAGCTCAGTTGTTCTTACCAGTAGCAGAGATGGCTCTGAATGGCAAACAGATACTCGTTGAAGCTCTCTAGTGGTTTCTCCTGAAGGACGTAATCAAACCGACGTCCGCCATTCAACATTCCAACACTGATATTCCTCATCTCTGTAGGTGAGACTGTACCATTTGGGGCCCCACTACCTGGAAAAGAGTATTGAGGAAACATTCATGTAACACAGTTCAAACTTTATTGTCCCCAGAGGGACATTTGGTTGCAGACAGGGGTAACATGATAAAAATACACATAGTACATACAAAAAACATGTCACACAAAGAACATATTACACAGAAACGTCACAATATTTACATCATGTTACATTACGTTGCTGTTAAAGGGATACCTGTATAGTTATGCTGTAATTTCTACAATAACATTTGTTTTTGGGACTATGAAGAATAAAGTAATGAATGTATGTTAAAACATTGCACATGGTTCCTAATGAATGAATGAATTAAATTACTTGCACACCGGTCTCTCACCTTCTGACTCCTGAGGTGGCAGTGTGTTGACAGGTAGCATGGTGAGGGTCTGCCACACACCACGGACAGCACTGATGGAGAGCAGCAGATCTGAGCTGACTCGCGTCAAGTTGTCTTTCAGCTCTGGGGGACACAATTTCAACACAGGGTCACTGCATGGGAAGGTGGATGAAAGCTTTCACACGCTCACTGGAAAACTATGATGTGTTAATTGAAGGGCAGTGTTTTTACATTATCAGACAGGTCAGAGCTTTAGCAATGCTCCCTAAGGGTCCTAACATAAAGCTCATTACATATGGGGCTACCATTGACCAGTGGTAAGCAGCAAGTGTATTTCTTGAAACGTTTCTGTAACGTCCATATCAAAGCTTTACGTCTCAGGTCTCACCAAGATGCATCCTCTTCCTGCCCTTGTGATGTGGGATCAGCATGGGGGGCAAGTCCACCCCTGGAGACACCACCATGGGCTCAATCCTGTAGGCCACTGGGTCAAACTGCATGGAGGAAGAACACATAGTCAGGTCCTTATGAATATTCATGACTTAGATGGACTTTAGCTACATAAAATATTCACTAACACATGATCCATAAACATACTGGATGGTAGATGTTATAGAAGCTTTTGCAGGTGGGGAGGCTGTATTTGGGGTCGATCCTCTTCAGGCCGCGCACCGTGAGGAACATTCCTATAGGAGAGCCCAAGGCAAAGAAAGCCTGTGGCTGGAAACCTAGCTGAGGGTACACGATGGACACCTGGGAAGGAAAGGAAGGGGTTAATGGTTAATAGTAATTCAGTATGCGCCATATGTACATTCTGCATTTCTTCACTTTCTGTAACTAAGGATGGATATCAAAATGTATCAACATTTTCAAATGAAATTAAACATTTAATTCAAGTAGATTTTCAGTTGTATTAGTTGGGCCTCATGCTAACTCCTCTAAGACACTATTAAGACATTCTGTCATTGTGACTGGAGGAGAGGGAGGGAGACAGAGGAAATGCCTGTCTACATGTAACAGAATGCTGTCACTGTTGCTTGTTTACCTGGCCAATGCCAACGTCAAGGTACTTGTAATCCACTGGGCTGGTGGAGAGGGTGCCTGAAAGGAGGGTCGGGTGTTCTTGGACTTGGGAATACACACCGGCAATGCCAGGAACTGGGTGTGAAGTTCCTGTCCTGAATTCCTGCTGCTGGGCCAGAGAGCAAGAGCGAGAGAGCGAGAGAGCGAGAGAGAGAGAGAGAGAGAGAGAGAGAGGAGCTCCAATAACAATCTAAACAATGGGTCTACATCCCAAATGGCACCCTATTCCCTACATAAGTGCACTTCTTTTGACCAGGGCCCAAGTAGTGCACTATGTAAGGAAAAGGGTGTTTTTTGGGACACAACCTGAAACTATCAGACTGCTACTTCCTGCTTCCAGCCTTTTACAAACAGTTAGGATGGAATAGTCATGGTCGAGACAGACAGGAAGCTATGCACAATGGCTCCAATAGACTGGAATGTTGGATCAAAGACTTTGAACACTGGGGAAAAATTGAACATGGTGGTTATGTGCAATGACTGAATCAATTTAGATGTGAATGAGAGATAGGTCATACCTTTCTCCATCTCTTCAACAAGCACATTATCTTCTTGCGAGGCCCTAAGGGTATTCCCAAGTCCTTCAAGTATGTCTCTGAACAGAGCACCTAGTCAATTGACAGAGGACACAGTCATTAGACAGTCACACACACACACACACATACATACATACACACATATACTCACGCACATGCTTACCAGTGATTCTAAGTCCATCTGCTCCTTTGTAAGCATTTGGACATACTTGCCCAATCCAAAGTTCCTAAGCGTGTCCTCAAAGCTCTCAAAGTCTATTGGGGTTGCTTCACTTGGACTGCTGACGCTACTCTGAAGCAGAAGACATATAGGATTAACATCAAGTTAATCAGAATAACAATGCTGGTGGTTGTGGCCATGACCAAAATTGAGTTTTGGCAGTAGCCTGTTACTTACTCCCTCTTCATCTGTGTTCTTTCTTTCTTGATTTGTCAGAAGGTCAAAGAGGATCAGAGAACCTAGAAAAGTCATAAAAATAAAGAATATTACTTACTATAATGGTTATCAATCCTAGCCTTGTCTAAATAAAGACTAAATAGAGAGAGAAAGGAAAAAGTTAGGAGGGGTCTTAAAAGGTTAGGAGAGGTTTACGGGGTACTGACCCAGACTGTGTCCAGCCAGTGACACTGCCCCAGTGAATTGTGGGTGGCGCTGGAGGAAGACTTGGTGGATGCGGTTGATCTCTGAGGCCACGGTGTCTATGATAGTCTGGCAGTATGTGGGGCTGTTGTAGAAGAACAGGTCCAACACCGTGCTGTTGCTGAACTGACGCAGACGACTGATGCTGGGCAGGGTGATCCTCTGGATATCGCTATATGGAGGGTGGGTGAGTGTCAAAGTGTGTTTTTAAGAGCGAGATAGAAGAGAGTGAGAGAGAGAGAGAGAGAGAGTGTGTGTGTGTGTGTGTCCCAAAGGCCTTACTCGTCCACCCCAGTGGCGTCACCATGCAGCACCCGGTGCCAGTCGACTGGCAGGAACTCAACACGGCCCATGTGGGTCCCATCTTGACTCTGCTTGAAGTGACTTCTCAGTAGGCTGAGAGAGGCACCCCGGAAATCATTCACTACATGGGGGAGAGAGGGACAAAAGAGAGGAGGGAGGGCATTAATGTATTTAGCAGCATTTCTATGGAAAAATTAGAAGGCAGGGAAAGGTTTAGATTTAAGGGTCAAATTCTATACACACCACACTGAACGACCCCACGCAGCTGGATGTCACAGGTTGGTCCAATGCCATGCACCATGAACACAAGGTGGTCCACTTGGTCAGGCTCTCCTGAAAGACCAATAGTACAAATAATCTATACTGTGTAAGTAATTGTCATTTGTTATCATGTAATTACCAACATGTAAATTATCCTTGAATGCATTAGAGGTTTCAAAAACCTGAGATCTCTGTACACAATGCAGTAACTGTTGTTCAGGCCAATTACCAGTACTGTTGCCATTAAATACACATGGTAGTACAGTACAGGAGTGACCATCTTACACAGAGCTGTAGAAATCTGGCTCACACATTTACCTTCAGGTATCTCTACTCTAATACCCTCCAGCCCCCTCTTGACCGTCCTGGGTTGACTCTGCTTAGAGGGGAGGCTTATCCAGTCCTTCAAGGGGATCGTCTGTTGCTGTGTCATAAGCTATTGGAGACAGAGCAAACTCTTGAGTTTGCATAAGTTCTATTTTACAGTGTAATATTGACCAGGTCTTTACAGACAAACAGCATACTACAGTGGGCTAATTGTAATTATGAATGGGGAGTCATACCTTAGGGCTGTGTAACACCACCGTTTCTCCAGTGGGGAATTCTAACTTCCTCTTCCAGTCATTCAGCGTCACTGCCATCATGTAGGCCTCCTGTGAATACAGTGATTCAAATGTAACGGACTGGGGTTTGAACCTGGGTCTCTTGCACTCCAGGCATTGGCTCTGGGAGTTAACGCAAGTCTTGGGGCATACAGTTGACTCGGGTTGAAACCCAGTCAGTCATATTATGTTATTGACAATGTTATCAAGGTTCAATAAATTGACAGATTAACAAGGTCATCACCAATCTGCAGTATACCCCTTTCAGACTGTAGGAATAAGTAAATATTGGCCCCACAAAACTACAGTACTAAGATAAACACCAAGATAACAGGGTATATATTATATCACTTTGTAATGATTTGTGTTTTGTGCGTCCGATATGGCACCCTATTCCCTATATACAGTAGAGCATTACTTTTGACCAGGGCCCTGTGTACTATATAGACACTAGGGTGCCATTAAAGACTGTGTCCTACCTCCAGGACTAGGCTGGTGTCCTCTGGATAAGGGGTGTAGGAGATGTCCTTGTCTCCTTTGTGAAACCAGGAGCAGCGCCTCACCTCCAAGGGGGGCTGCTCCCAGTACACCGCGTAGCACCTCCTCTCCTTCAGCCTCACGTCAAAGCGTCTCCCCTCTGTGGCTACCACCACCTCCTCTTCTTTCTCCCCACTGGTCTCCCCTGTTAGGAGCAAACCCACAATTATGATGATATCATTATAATTATCTTTATCATTGCTGTTATCATCAGAATTCACTTAATTAAACTGTAATTAAGGGTTATCTGGGCAAATCATGTTTTCATTCAATTCAATTCAAAATTGTGAGTAACTATAATCTGTTACCATTCTATTACCATGCTACTACCACTTTATTCCATGCTCTAATGCAAAGTGCTACCGTTTTCTTAATATGGGCTCTATTGCATGAACAATAGTTCACTCAGAAGTAGGAATGAGTTATATTCTTGTTTCGGGGTAATACATCACATACTTTGTGGTATAGAGGGGTAACAATACAAGAACAATGTCTTTAACTGTATATGTACACTTGGCATTTGAAATGATTTCCCCCTGTATAAATAAACAAATTAATGAAAATTAAATGTGTATTAAATGTGTATTAAATTAAATGTGTATTAAATGTGCATTTGTTCAAGTGTGATGAATAGTCTCATGCCATGTTTGTGTGTCTCCTCCAGCCGTAGAGAGTCCTCTCTGCTGAACGGGATCCAGGAGCCTCTACAGTCCACCGGCTGCTGGCAGTGGAACCAATGGTGCTGCACCGGCTCAAATACACCTTCCATGGCAGAGAAGCTAAGTAAGAGTTGGAGTAAATCAAATATATTAGAATAGAGTAGGACAGAATAGAATATAAAATAATAAAATAGAATTCTTAGATTTTCCCCATAGGGGACTTTCATATTTTTTGTCTGCTTTTAAAGAACAGAACGATACAAATAAATGAAAAACAAGCTCACCTACTGTCTGGCTACTGTATGAAGACAGATGGGTAATTTGAGAGGCTCAGGTTGGTCACCTAGGCAGCTTTAATGTACCACCTGGGAATCACTAACAGCATTCTAATATGTACACATGCATCTGGTGCTAGGTTTCAGGGAAGATATCATTGTTTTAGATGCTATATAGGAACTGACATCTGGATCTTTAGTATACATGGATATATTGTGCATACCATCTCACAACATACTGGGAATTTTTGTTTACCTTGGAACTTAATGATGGGGCTGGGATTGAATATAGTCAATTCATCACTTATACTATTTAAACTAACATTGTTTGAAGTAGAGAGCAGACATCAGAAATAGCTACATACCTTCAATGTTCAGCTAATATTATAGTATGGCTCTATCAAATATGGCAGTTCCTCCTGACTGGATCGCTAGGATCTCTCTCTGTTGAAAGTTGCAAATAGTCTTCCTTAGAATATATCAAAATCCAAAAGCAATCCGAAAACCCACCAATGTTTGTTGAGTTTTCCAACAGGGGTGACTTTCCTGATTCACTTTACACGTCGCAAGCTTGTCCCAACACTCGTGTTCTGAATGACGTCACCGGTTTAGTGATTCAGTAGTGGGATCAAAGGTCAATTCCCATGATGATAGAGATATGGGGAAATAGCAACACAACAGTAAACCTCTAGGCTATAAATCACTGGCAAAATCCTAGAGAGATTACACAAATCTTACTCAATAATAATACTTAGCTAATATGATTCCAAGCTTTGAGTGGGGAATGGGAACATTTGCAAAGCTTTACGACTATTGTTTTATTACATTTAGTGTGTGTGTGGGGGGTGGGGGTAAGTAAAGCAAAAATGTCAGCCTTTACACTTCAGTCAGTCCATATCTACACTTCTATCTCAACATATCTAGAACAGACTGAAGTTTAAAGGCTACTTGCCAACTGAATAGGCTAGGTGTCAGTCTGTTCTGCTTTCCATGAATCATCTCCTACATAGGACACAATGTTCCAGCTGTTAACCAGTGGAAGCTGCTGAGGGGAGGACGGCTCATAATAATGGCTGGAACGGCGCTAATGGAATGGCATCAAACACATTGAAAACATGTGTTTGATACCATTCCACCCATTCCGCTCCAGCCATTACCACGAGCCCGTCCTCCCCATTTAAGGTGCCACCATCCTCCTGTGTTGTTAACATACTGTACTGTAGAACATGAACCACATGGATGATAGGCTTCAGAGATAGCATGGGTGAAGTTCCCTACTCAACAAACACTGTGGAAAACCATATTGACAATGTAAAGAAAGTTTGCTGAATCCGTACATTCCCTGGTAAACTTTATTGGCACAGTATTGTAAACAACATACTATACATATAGTATCTGTAGCTGCATTTTGGCATCTTAAGTGATCAAGAAAGAGTCCATATGATTGATTAATTCATTTTCTCATTCGATTTGGATTACTCTTAGATTTGTAAAACCCAGAGTGCTAGCATGGTCCCTTACTTGTGATCCAACGTAACCGTGGTGGTCCTTTAACTTCTATACAATTGGTCCTTCAAAGATCAGAAACATTTATATTAGCATGACAGCCTGGGAATGCAACCCTGTTTTTACAGTAGTACTGTTTATCATTTGACATTTACATTTTAGTCATTTAGCAGACGCTCTTATCCAGACATTATTTTTTTCATACTGGCCCCCCGTGGGAATCGAACCCACAACCCTGGCGTTGCAAGCGCCATGCTCTACCAACTGAGCTACACGGGACTGAGCTCACACTGATTGAGTGAGGAGCAGGATACTTGGTACCTCTCCTCTCCAACTAAAGTTATTATTTGTTTTCCCCCCTGTGGAGGTCTGGACCCGTATTCATAAGGCTGCTGGTCTAGGATCAGGTCCCCCCTGTCCATATAGTCTTATTAATCATGATCTGAAAGGAAACTTTCTCCCAAAGTGTGCACTTGTTCACTTCCCTTCATGGATTTGATAGGAAATTACTGGTACATGGAAACTCCCTCTAGCCCATTCACCAATCCAATGCTTACACATTTGTGGGGAGTACTAAACGAGTGCACACTTCAGGAAGAAGGAGAGATTATGGGGATGCACCCAGTACAGAAGCAGGCCTGGGCTCCTTACAGAGGCAGAAGGTATCCTGAGTTGGCCTGCTGCTCCTGCTGCTTGCGCTCCTGTGCCGCGGGGACTTCTTCCCGATGCACCAGGGGCCTGTGGCTGTCTGTGTCACTGAGAGACGGGTAGTGCTGCCAGTAGCCCAGACAGGCAAACACCAACCCCAGCAGAGAGCCCACCAGGACATCTGGAGAACAAAAAGATTAGAATTATGTTCAGTTTACTTGTATATTTCAGCAATTTAGTGCAATGTGAAGTTCATTAATGCATGATCTGTAACCAGCCAATATAATTGTAATTTGCCACACTTTAAACATGGGTTGTGTTGATATTATTTTGAAAATAAAGACATCAAAAGTTGAACAGGGCTTCTGAGAGCCAATGACAAAGCCTGAAGGTCAAAGCAAAGCCAGTTGCCATGTGGGATAAGGCAACACTTAATCAATAGGCCCCTGTTACAGTGAGAATGCTGCACTTTAACCTCATTGTCATTGTATTATTTCAAATCTAAAGTACTGGAGCACAGAGCCAAAACAACCAAAAATGTGTCACTGTCCCAATACTTTTGGAGCTCACTGTTTATTTACAGTGTATTCATAAAGTATTCAGACCCCTTGACTTTTTCCACATTTTGTTACGTTACAGCCTTATTCTAAAATTGATTAAATAAAAAATGTTCCTCATCAAACTACACACAATACCCCATAATGACAAAGCGAATAAGTATTCAGACCCTTTGCTATGAGACTCGAAACTGAGCTCAGGTGCATCCTGTTTCCATAGATCATCCTTGAGATGTTTCTACAACTTGATTGGAGTCCACCTGTGGTAAGTTAAATTGATTGGACATGATTTGGAAAGGCACACACCTGTCTATATAAGGTCCCATGGTTGACAGTGCAAGTCAGAGCAAAAACCAAGCCCTGAGGTCGAAGAAATTGTCCGTAGAGCTCCAAAGCACGATTGTGTCGAGGTACAGATCTTGGGAAGGGTACCAAAAAATGTCTGCAGCATTGAAGGTCCCCAAGAACACTGTGGCCTCTATCAATCTTAAATGGAAGAAGTTTGGAACCACCAAGACTCTTCCTAGAGATGGCCGCCCTGCCAAACTGAGCAATCGGGGGAGAAGGGCCTTGGTCAGGGAGGTGACCAAGAACCCGATGGTCACTCAGACAGAGCTCCGGAGTTCCTCTGTGGAGATGGGAGAACCTTCCAGAAGGACAATCATCTCTGCAGCACTTCACCAATCAGGCGTTTATGGTAGAGTGGCCAGACGGAAATCACTCCTCAGTAAAAGGCACATGACAGCCCGCTTGGAGTTTGCCAAAAGGCACCTAAAGGACTCTCAGACCATGAGAAACAAGATTCTCTGGTCTGATGAAACCAAGATTGAACTCTTTGGCCTGAATGCCGAGCATCACATCTGGAGGAAACCTGGCACCATCCCTACGGTGAAGCATGGTAGTGGCAGCATCATGCTGTGGGGATGTTTTTCAGCGGCAAGGACTGGGAGACTAATCAGGATCGAGGGAAAGATGAACGGAGCAATGTACAGAGAGATCGTTGATGAAAACCTGCTCCAGAGCGCTCAGGACCTCAGACTGGGACGACGGTTCCCTAAGCACATAGCCAAGACAACGTAGGAGTGGCTTCGGGACAAGTCTCTGAATGTCCTTGAGTGGCCCAGCCAGAGGCCGGACTTGAACCCGATTGAATATCTCTGGAGAGACCTGAAAATAGCTGTGCAGCGACGCTCCCCATCCAACCTGACAGAGCTTGAGAGGATCTGCAGAGAAGAATGTGAGAAACTCCCCAAATACAGGTGTGCCAAGCTTGTAGCGTCATACCCAAGAAGACACAAGACTGTAATTGCTGCCAAAGGTGCTTCAACAAAGTACTGAGTAAAGGGTCTGAATACTTATGTAAATGTGTTATTTCGTTTTTTTATTTGTAATACATTTGCAAAAATGCTTAAAAACTAACTTTTGCTTTGTCATTATGGGGTATTGTGTGTAGATTGATGAGGGAAAAAAACAATTTTATCAATTTTAGAATAAGGCTGTAACGTAACAAAATTTGGAAAAAGTCTGAATACTTTCCGAATGCACTGTATGTTCAAATTGTTACCAAACGCTTTAGTTCCACACATCAATGAAAACGTTTAGTTTCTGCCGAGCGTTAGCTATCTAGCTGCCTACCTTGCCAGTGGTGTTTGTAGTCGCAGGTCCTGGACATGGCGATGAGGATGGCCAAGAGGAGAGGGGCGAGGAAGGCACAGAGTCGCCAGGCTTTGCCCCGTCCTGCTGGACTAAAGCAGTGCAGCTTCCCCGCCACATACAGAGCAGTGAAGCCCAGACCAGCAAAGGCAACTGAGAAGGCAGCGCACAAAGAGAAATAGAAAGGTCAGGGTCAAGGTCTTGTGTATGTACAGTATAATGTAGTTAGCTGACCTAAATAACTGTTTGTGACCTAAAAGTGTTGAGTTAGTTGTCATCAACTGGCGCCAGGTGTCATGAGTGTTACTGGTAAAGTGCGTGGAATGGCGTAAGTGTGTGTGTGTTTGTGCGTATGAGTGCGTAGACCTTAGGTCTGCTCTCACATGAGGAGTGTCCGCTAGGGAAGCTCTTCCTCCCCTCCTCCACGGTGTCGGGGTCTCCACTGCATCGCAGCTCCGTGTTCATCTGACCATCAGGGAAACAGCGGTAGAAGAAATCTGGCCGCGGCCTGCCCACTGCCAGTTTGATTGCGTTGGTGAAAACCCCATTGAGTACCAGAGTCAAAGTCACAGCTGAAAGGAAGACAGAGACTGCATGAGAGACATCTTTTGTATTCTGTAGTATGACGTGACATTATTTGACGTGTAAGTCCCTCAGAAAGAGGCTTGTGTGGCCTGTGTGGTCCAGCGGTTACAGCCGCTCACCCCGACACACATGTATGCCAGAGCCGGCATGGGTTCGTCTCCGACCCACTGCCCTTTCACTCCCGTCTTTCCAACACTTTACTATCACTTCAATAAAGCAAAAAAATTATGAAAGGATTGGGACTGCCTCACTCATTAAAAAATACCTTTAAAAAAGGTGTTGCTCATCATGAGTCAAAACATGTTCATGGGCTATCTACAGTAAAAGTAGATATGAGCTTTTCATGTAAAAGCAAGTTTATCTTAGTTCTTCAAAATGTCAATAATTTGTGAAACGATTTATTGCATTGAAAGCGGTCTATGGTTGCGTTTAGACAGGCAGCCCAATTCTGATATTTTTTCACTAATTAGTATTTTGACCACCTGTGTAAATGCAGCCAAAGACTTTATGGTCTCAATCCTAACCCTACCCTCTGTGGGGTCAGAACAAACGGATGCATCCGGTTTTCAGGGGAAATGGAAAGAGAGCCTGTGACGCGACTTCTACTTTTGGACGTTAACAAGGCGACGCTCCATCTTAACTCCTCCTCCACATTTACTGGATTGGTTCAACAGCGCAGAAGAGAACCTCCCCCGACAGTTGTTTCTTTCTCATCAGGACCAGAAAGAAAGAAACGCAGCTTAGTCATTTATTTTACACCTGCTACTTTTGGTTACCCTAACCCTAGCCTCAACCACAACTCTAACTCTAGCTTCATGTCCACATCCCGGTTTAACCAACACTAACTCTAACCGTAGTTAATTAAACTGTTATCTTGCCTTAAAGGGAAGTCCAAATCCATTGAGTTTGCCTTCAGCTACTCTGCAGAAAGGAGGGGTTTACGAGCATGACACTGTACCTACCCAGAGAGGCCTGCTTAATGTCCCTCTTCTCTGTCTTGTTCAGGAAGGCAAACAGCATGATGACAGCCATTGGGGTGAAAAGTGCAATGCTCTGCAAAACAGAGGGAAAGGAAAAAACAGCTGTATGTGTTTGCACTAAAATTAAGACAGCGCGTCAACAATCACTCAATCCAATTTGATTTGTTCTGATACTAATTTTGACATTGAAACCAAACTATCTTCACAAAACTCAGGCCCAAAAGAGCAAGCCTACAAGGCGATAGTGACAATAGGAAAAACTCCACTTGGAGAGGTAGAGACCTTTTTAGGAACCAGACTATTGAGAAGAAGTTCATTTTCTTTTGGCTGGCTGTTATTAATATATTATTATGGAGGTTAATTATGCAGACTGTCATTAGTAGTACTGGTACTTACAAACATGAGTTTGGTAGGAACGTGGTCATTCTCAACATGGTGGAACTTGTAGAGCCACAGCTCCTCTGGCTGGATCTCACGAGTGAAAGGAGGTAGCACCTCTGTCACACTAAAAGGACAGAGATAATCATTGGCAGCTGTTCTATTATTACAGAAGGAAACATCTCCAATATACTCCTATGGTGATTGATTGTCATAGGACAGCACAAACAGATCTGGAACCAGGCTGGGCAACAGCACCTATACACATTAATCTAAAGTTGCTGTATGCCTACTGTTAGGAATAGTCGATTTGCTCAGGTGTGGGAAAAGTATGGATGCAAAGACAAGGCGAAGACTTCTGTAATTTTCAAAGGTTTAATAGACAGAACTTGTGCACAAATGAGATCGGTACGATACTCAGAGTTCACAACAATCTGACCCTCAAGGCCAGAAAGCTAGTTAAATACTCATTACATTTGTATTTGTATTTATTAGGGATCCCCATTAGCTGCTGCCAAGGCAGCAGCCACTCTTCCTGGGGTCCAAACACATTAAGGCACATCACGCAAAAAATGTAACAGTACATCATATAACATTATTACACCACTACATATCTACAACACAAAATGTACAATTCCACCATACAACCATAGTACAATATACTGTACGTGTGTGTAGAGTGCGTGTGTATAGAGTGCGTATGCTTGTGTGTGTGCCTGTGTGTGTGTGTGTGTGTGTGTCTCTTCACAGTCCACGTTGTTCCATAAGGTGTACTTTTATCTGTTTTTAAATCTGATTTACTGCTTGCATGAGTTACTTGATGTGGAATAGAGTTTCATGTAGTCATGGCTCTATGTAGTACTGTGCGTTTCCCAGAGTCTGTTCTGGACTTGAGGACTGTGAAGAGACCCCTGGAGGCATGTCTTGTGGGGTACTGTATGCATGGGTGTCTGAGGTATGTGCTAGTCATTTGAACAGACAGCTTGGTAATTTCAGCATGTCAATACCTCTCACAAAGACAAGTAGCGATGCAGTCAATCTCTCCTCTACGTCGACCCAGGAGAGATTGACATGGATGTCATTGATGTTAGTTCTCTGTGTACATTTAAAAGCCAGCCTATCTCTGTTTGTTCTCCAAGTCCCTGGGCCCTGGTCAAAACATTAATCAAGGTTGTTGTCGAGACCTCTTAGGTCAGAGTGGATCGTATATTAGATACTGTATCTCTGTCATTTGAAGCCGCCGATGTCTGAATTTACAGCCTTGGGGTGGGGGGGGGGGGGGGGGGGGGGGGGGGGGTCACCTGGAGTACCAGGTTTTACTATATGGTGATTCAATGATTTAACATGTACAGAAGGAACTTACCAGAACACTGCAAACAGCAGTAGACGGGTCAATACATCAAAGACGAAACAGTCATTTGGACTCCTCCACATCTTCTAGCCTAGCTTGTCATCAAACTATCCCAGGGGTTCTGCTTAGGGCTTAAAGGACAGGAGGAAAAGGGAGACATGTCATAAACTATAATAGAGTTGGATGATTCAGGAGGGCCCAACTTTGAAAGTCATTTTGTCAGAGCACAACATTGATAATTAAAAGTCTGACAGACATTTTATCAGTGAGTGAGTGAGTGAGTGTCATCATGGCATGTCTCTGCCTGTATGATGCAAATAAGAACATTCCTAAATGAGTCGATTGATATACATTGTTTTAATTTTGTTAAACAGCTACTGAAGCTACCCTCATGCATTGCTATCCCGTTTCCTTGGGACGTCCATACCCTAACCTAAACCCTAACCATTTGAAAGTTCAACTTCAATTGGGGGTAGGGACGTTCCAAGGATTCTGCATTGCACGGACCATAACCAAACAAAGTGACATCAGTCTTAACTTTCTTCAAATTAGCAGACTACTAGACTAGGTCTAAATAATGCTGCACCATGCATTACATAACCCTGGGCAACAGACAGAGAGCAGTTGAGCATTAAAGCTGGACTCAATGTAAACATGACACGTAGCCTACTGATACAGCATGCCAGGTATGAGTAAACCGTGCGTAATTCGCCCAAAATCAAATTATTTGGCCAAGTCCCCATAGGCTCTTTAAAGTTCAGTCGGGCAGCAAAATATATGAGTTACGGTGGTTTATGTATCGGATTACAGAGTAATTTTCGTAGGCTACCTACAAGCATGCCACAATCACATCTGGCTGGATACTAACTTGTACATCCGTAAACACGATACCGTAGGCCTCGCCGGTTCTATCCCCACTCCCCCTATTTTTACGCCGTATAGTATACAGACCTTTGAGCGCATCAAAGTATGCCAATCTTCGTCGGCTGTTGAACTGTGGCGGTAAAAGATGGAAAGAAAAACCTTATCAAACTATTGTAGTCATCGTTTCACTACTATTGTTGCGCCCGACCAGGTAACTCTGGTTCGACCTGCTACGCAAGAGATCATTACGAAACTGACTGACTGCGGAAGACAATACAACCCTTGCCTGTCACTACATTAGAGTGACATCTAGAGGAATAAGCTACACACCTCATCAGGCCTGAGTTGTACCAATTTGGTACACTAATGAAATGAAATGGCATAATCACAGGTGAATATTCAGGTAGCCTACATACAGTAGGCTACATATTTTTTGTATCAATCTTCATTGTTTGTAATGGACAATTTCTGATTTCTGGAATAAATGTAAATTTATTTTCCTTTCTTGAACGTGTGATGTAGGCTACACAAATTAATGCTTGAGGCCCTAGAGGGTATTAACAATCTAAGTAACATAATAAAAAAATCTCCATCAATTTAAGATAGGGATAGGCAGTGGCGACCCAGTTTGCAAACAATGTACAAAAAAATAAAATAATTATTGAGTTAATAAAGCTACATAAATACATAAATACATTTGCACGGGCCAGACGAATTACCAGGACGTGTACTCAGAGAATGCGCGGACCAACTGGCAAGTGTCTTCACTGACATTTTCAACCTCTCCCTGATCAAGTCTGTAATACCTACATGTTTCAAGCAGACCACCATAGTCCCTGTGCCCAAGAAAGCAAAGGTAACCTGCCTAAATGACTACAGCTCCGTAGCACTCACATTGGTAGCCATGAAGTGCTTTGAAAGGCTGGTCATGGCTCACAACAACACCATCATCCTGGAAACCCTAGACCCACTCCAATTCGCATACCGCCCCAACAGATCCACAGATGACGCAATCTCAATCACACTCCACACTGCCCTTTCCCACCTGGACAAAAGGAACACCTATGTGAGAATGCTGTTCATTGACTACAGCTCAGCGTTCAACACCATAGTGCTCACAAAGCTCATCACTAAGCTAAGGACCATGGGACTAAACACCTCCCTCTGCAACTGGATCCTGGACTTCCTGATGGGCCGCCCCCCAGGTGGTAAAGGTAGGCAACAACACATCTGCCACGCTGATCCTCAACACAGGGGCCCCTCAGGGGTGCATGCTTAGTCCCCTCCTGTACTCCCTGTTCACCCACGACTGTGTGGCCAAGCACGACTCCAACACCATCATTAAGTTTGCTGACGACACAGTGGTGGTAGGCCTGATCACCGACAATGATGAGACAGCCTATAGGGAAGAGGTCAGAGAGCCCCTATTCATATAGACGGGGCTGTAGTGGAGCAGGTTGAGAGTTTCAGGTTCCTTGATGTCCACATCACCAACATTCTATCATAGTACAAACACCCCAAGAAAGTCGTGAAGAGGGCACTACAACACCTTTTTCCCACTCAGGAGACTGAAAAGATTTTGCATGGGTCCTCAGATCCTCAAAAAGTTATACAGCTGCACCATCGAGAGCATCCTGACCGGTTGCATCACCGCCTGTTGTATTCCGCGCATGTGACAAATACATTTGATTTGATCAGTAGTTTGATTGCTAGCAGCTAACGTTAGCTTCTTGTTTTGCTCAGGTCTGTGACCCTCTTTTATAGCAGCCTCCACCGATCGAGAAGGGTGAAATTGCGGCTTGCAATTCGGGGTGTTCCTGCATGTGGGCATTCCTGCATCTGCAGCAACCCCTCTTTATACTTCTATTGGTCAATCTTTAAGCTAGCACAGGCGGGAGGCGGGGGATCTCCAGTACAGTAGTTGGCATTAATGCATAATAAAGTTGGGATGCCAGCGGCAGATAAACCCCACAGAAGAAGGGGTGGTGGCGACAACCGTAGCTAGCTAGCTGTACACCCGTAGGCAGTGTCCTTCATCCCCGCCTGTCAGGCACTGTTTTCCCACAGTTCTGTTAACGACTGCGAGGGCAGGTGTTCGGCAGGTGGGAGCGAAGGACACTGTGTGCTAGCTTAGCCAGCTAGTCCAGTAAACAGCAGGCGGGAGCACCACCGTGTGCTAACTAGCATGCTAGTTAGCACACGGTGTACCTAACTAGCATGCTAGCTAGTTAGCTAACACACAGTGTCTCTCAAGCCTCCACCTGCTGTGCTAGCGGGCGGCGAGGACGAACGGTAGTCAGTGTCCTTTTCCCCCTAACTAGCAAGCTAGCACATGGTGTCGCTAATAAGCTAGCTAGTAAGGAGGACTGCGGGAGGCAGTGGCAAAAAAAGTCAGATAATACCAATGGGGTGGAATGCCCACATGCAGGAACTCCCCGAATTGCAGGCTGCAGTTGCAGACTATTGGACCCAATCTGTCACTGCTGAGTGAGATCAGTCAGAGTTGCCATGTTCGCGGTTTTAGGCAAATTGGGCTACTTTGAAAACGATGTCGCGGTTGAAAATGTATTGGTTGCGGGTTTTTTCGGCTACTTCTAAGTTACACTGCGGCCGCTATGGCATTTCTCCCCCCCAAAATAATATATTTCACTGTGACCTGCTGCAGCTGACTATCATGCAGTGAGGCAAGCTGTTGCTGAGTGAGGGGTGTGTGTGTGTGTTGAGAGAGTGCTGCATCATGCAGTTTAGTCCACAATTGGCTGAGTCACGTGAGTGAGAGGCTACAGAGCAGCACACGCGCACGTCGTGACAACTTTTTACCAGTTGTAGGTAGGCTATTTAACTTGTCATTATGCGGGAGTGGAAATTTGAAATGGAAGTTACGGAACTCCCTTGTGTGCTTCTGTTATGGGAAAAAGTACTCAATGAAACTGACATTAAATGTGGAGAATTATACATTTGCATCGGTTGGCCATCAAGTAGCCTATTGATTTATATCCCATTGTAGGCTACTGTAGGCTACCATTTGATACAATAAATATGTAGAAATGACTATATCACTCGAGTCATTGAAATTCAATTTGTGCCACTTGTGTAGCCTACCTGGAGCTGGCAAACAGATTTAATAAATAGCCTAGAATTTCAGTGTATTGTTGTTGTAGCCTATTATGCAATTATTAATGGCCATGTTTAGTTAATTAAATTGGAAGTTATCAAAGTTGTTAGAATTCATTAGATTGATGGTAACAGTCAGTCAGATTAGGCTACAGGTAAAAAAAAGAAAAGAAACACTGGTTGTTGTTGACAAGCATATTCAGTTCATATACATATTATTAATATTTAATTCAGTGATTGAAATTACGACCCCATCCTCAGTAGCCTATTTCAGCAGGCTATGGGGAAACAAAAACACTTCTTACCTCGAAATCGTCAAACTATTCATGTTGAATAAATGAGTCTGTTAATTTGAACTAAGCAAGCTGCTAAATCGTTGAGTTTATATTTTGCCTTTTTATTTTATTTATTTAACCTTTATTTAACTAGGCAAGTCAGTTAAGAACAAATTCTTATTTACAATGACGGCCTACCAAAAGGCAAAAGGCCTCCTGCGGGGAGGGGGGCTGGGATTAAAAATAAAAATATAGGACAAAACACACATCAAGACAAGAGAGACACCACAACACTACATAAAGAGAGACCTAAGACAACAACATAGCATGGCAACAACACATGACAACACAACACGGTAGCAACACCACATGACAACAACATAGTAGCAACACAACATGGCAGCAGCACAACATGGTACAAACATTATTGGGCACAGACAACAGCACAAAGGCAAGAAGGTAGAGACAACAATACATCATGAGAAGCAGCCACAACTGTCAGTAAGAGTGTCCATGATTGAGTCTTTGAATGAAGAGCTGGAGATAAAACTGTCCAGTTTGAGTGTTTTTTGCAGCTCGTTCCAGTCGCTAGCTGCAGCGAACTGAAAAGAGGAGCAACCAAGGGATGTGTGTGCTTTGGGGACCTTTAACAGAATGTAGCCCGAATGGGCTCCCGAGTGGCGCAGCGGTCTAAGGCATTGCATCTCAGTGCTTGAGGCGTCACTACAGACCCCCTGGTTCAATTCCAGGCTGTATCACAACCGGCCGTGATTGGGAGTTTGTTACGGATACAGGTATCCTGTGTCTTTTTGTGTTTTTCCTCTCCTTCTGCCCTAATCACAGGTGTCCTTTATGTTCCTGATTGGTGGTCGTTGGGGGTGTCCCACCTGTCCAACATCCGTTTGTCTGCTGATTGCTGAGGTGGACCAATCAGTGGACATTCATCTGTATTGCACCACCTGTTTCTGGTTTCCCACTTACACCTCCCATTGTTTAAAAGCCAGTCAGTTGTGTTTGTAGAGAGAGACTATTTTCCGTATGTGAGTATGGATACTGTGGTGTCCTGTGTTTTGTGTACTCACGCATTTGCTGGTTACTCTGTTTGGTAACTTTGTTGAGTGTTTCTGGGAAAAGGGGAATTTAAGCAAGTTGCCATTGGGCATACATTACCCGTAGGAAGAAAACTGTCTAAAAACACTAGTTAGACCTGAGCGGACCACCCACTGTCATTTTTGTTTGATTAGCAGTAGCTTAGCGGTTCTTGAGGCAGGCAAGATCAGTTTAGTTTTTTTTTACACTATTGTTTCATTTCTTGGGTCCTGCTCAGCCCTTTTTCCCAAACCTTTACCGTGTGTTCAAAATAAACATTTTATGTTTGACGGTAGTTTATGGTTGTCGTGTAGTTTTTGTTCTCACTGTTTCCATGTCACGATTCTAATTTGCATGAATTATGTTACGGGTCTCTTGTCCATCCACCCTAGACGTTTAAAGCCACAGGGTTCGTAACAGAGTCCCATAGGGCAGCGCACAATTGGCCCAGCGTCGTCCGGGTTTGGCCGGTGTAGGCCATCATTGTAAATAAGAATTTGTTCTTAACTGACTTGCCTAGTTAAATAAAGGTGACTGGCAGAACGGGTATTGTATGTGGAGGATGAGGGCTGAAGTAGGTATCTCAGATAGGGGGGAGTGAGGCCTAAGAGGGTTTAATAAATAAGCATCAACCAGTGGGTCTTGTGACGGGATATACAGAGATGACCAGTTTACAGTGGAGTATAGAGTGGAGTGATGTGTCCTATAAGGAGCATTGGTGGCAAATCTGATGGCCGACTGGTAAAGAACATCTAGCCGCTCGAGAGCATCCTTACCTGCCGATCTATAAATTATGTCTCCGTAGTCTAGCATGTGTAGGATGGTCATCTGAATCAGGGTTTGGCAGCTGGGGTGAAAGAAGAGCGATTACGATAGAGGAAACCAAGTCTAGATTTAACCTTAGCCTGCAGCTTTGATATGTGCTGAGAGAAGGACAGTGTACCATCTAGCCATACTCCCATGTACTTGTATGAGGTGACTACCTCAAGCTCTAAACCCTCAGAGGTAGTCATCACACTGGTGGGGAGAGGGGCATTCTTCTTACCAAACCACATTACCTTTGTTTTGGAGGTGTTCAGAACAAGGTTAAGGGCAGAGAAAGCTTGTTGGACACTAAGAAAGCTGTTGTAGAGCATTTAACACAAAATCTGGGAAGGGGCCAGCTGAGTATAAGACTGTATCATCTGCATTTAAATGGATGAGAGAGCTTCCTACTGCCTGAGCTATGTTGTTGATGTAAATTGAGAAGAGCGTGGGGCCTAGGATCGAGCCTTGGGGTACTGCCTTGGTGACAGGCAGTGGCTGAGACAGCAGATGTTCTGACTTTATACACTGCACTCTTTGAGAGAGAGGTAGTTAGCAAACCAGGCCAGAGACACCAATACTCCTTAGCCGGCTCACAAGAATGGAATGGTCTACCGTATCAAAAGCTTTGGCCAAGTCAATAAAAATAGCAGCACAACATTGCTTAGAATCAAGGGCAATGGTGACATCATTGCTGATTGTCTGAAAGCTGTGGCATATCAGACCGTACGTATACCATGGGAATGACAAAAAATTCCTTTTACGTTGGTGACCAGTTTATAATAGCAATAAGGCCAATAAGTATATGGCCAATATACCACGGCTAATGGCTGTATCCAGACAATATACCACAGCCCTTAGCTGTGGTATATTGGCCATATACCATATCCCCTCGTGCCTTATTGCTTAATCATAGTAGTCAAACGAGTTAAATTGACATCCATTGATGGAAAATAATCTGGCGAGTTTATTTAAGGGCTTTTCCCTTGTGACATATTCAATTTGTTTATTAAGTCATGTCATAGTTTGCAATAATTATTATTTTGTTAAACTGAATTTTGAAGTCAATTTGTGGAATTTATTTCCTTCTTAATACGTTTGAGCCAATCAGTTGTGTTGTGACAAGGTAGGGGTGGTATACAGAAGATAGCCCTATTTTGGTAAAAGACCAAGTCCATATTATGGCAAGAACAGCTCAAATAAGCAAAGAGAAACAACAGTCCATCATTACTTTAAGACATGAAGGTCAGTCATTACGGAACATTTCAAGAACTTTATACGTTTCTTCAAGTGCAGCCGCAAAAACCATCAAGCGCTATGATGAAACTGGTTCTCATGAGGACCGCCACAGGAATGGAATACCCAGAGTTAACTCTGCTACAGAGGATAAGTTCATTAGAGTTACCAGCCTCAGAAATTGCAGTCCAAATAAATGCTTCACAGAGTTCAAGTAACAGACACATCTCAACATCAACTGTTCAGAGGAGACTGTGTGAATCAGGCCTTCATGGTGGAATTGCTACAAAGAAACCACTTCTAAAGGACACCAATAAGAAGAAGAGACCTGCTTGGGCCAAGAAACACAAGCAATGGACATTTGACCGGTGGAAATGTGTCCTTTGGTCTGGAGTCCAAATTTGAGATTTTTGGTTCCAACCTCTGTGTCTTTGTGAGACGCGGTTTGGGTGAACGGATGATCTCCGCATGTGTATTTCCCACCGTAAAGCATGGAGGAGGAGGTGTTATGGTGTGGGGGTGCTTTGCTGGTGACTCTGTCTGTGAGCTATTTAGTGGAGTGGTGTAAAGCGCGCCGCCATTGGACTCTGGAGCAGTGAAAACGCGTTGTCTGAAGTGATGAATCACGCTTCACCATCTGGCAGTCCGACAGACTAATTTGGGTTTAGCGGATGCCAGGAGAACGCTACCTGCCCGAATGCATGGTGCCAACTGTAAAGACATGACTGTAAGTCGCTTTGGATAAAAGTGTCTGCTAAATGGCATATTATTATTATATTATTATTTAAAGTTTGGTGGTGGAAGAATCATAGTCTAGGGCTGTTTTTCATGGTTTGGGCTAGGCCCCTTAGTTCCAGTGTAAGGAAATCTTAACGCCACAGCATACAATGACATTCTAGACGATTCTGTGCTTCCAACTTTGTGGGAAGGCCCTTTCCTGTTTTAGCATGACAATGCCCCCATGCACAAAGCGAGGTCCATACAGAAATCGTTTGTCAAGATCAGTGTGGAAGAACTTGACTGGCCTGCACAGAGCCCTGATCTCAACCTTTGGGATGAATTGGAACACAGACTGCGAGCCACGCCTAATGGCCCAACATCAGTGCCCGACCTCACTAATGCTCTTGTTGCTCAATGGAAGCAAGTCTCCGCAGCAATGTTCCAACATCTAGTGGAAAGCCTTCCCAGAAGAGAGGAGGCTGTTATTCACTGCTCAAAAAAATAAAGGGAACACTTAAACACAATGTAACTCCAAGCTATCACTCTAGTGATAGCATGAGACGGAGTCTACAACCCACACAAGTGGCTCAGGTAGTGCAGCTCATCCAGGATGGCACATCAATGCGAGCTGTGGCAAGAAGGTTTGCTGTGTCTGTCAGCGTAGTGTCCAGAGCATGGAGGCGCTACCAGGAGACAGGCCAGTACATCAGGAGACGTGGAGGAGGCCGTAGGAGGGCAACAACCCAGCAGCAGGACCGCTACCTCCGCCTTTGTGCAAGGAGGAGCAGGAGGAGCACTGCCAGAGCCCTGCAAAATGACCTCCAGCAGGCCACAAATGTGCATGTGTCTGCTCAAACGGTCAGAAACAGACTCCATGAGGGTGGTATGAGGGCCCGACGTCCACAGGTGGGGGTTGTGCTTACAGCCCAACACCGTGCAGGATGTTTGGCATTTGCCAGAGAACACCAAGATTGGCAAATTCGCCACTGGCGCCCTGTGCTCTTCACAGATGAAAGCAGGTTCACACTGAGCACATGTGACAGACGTGACAGAGTCTGGAGACGCCGTGGAGAACGTTCTGCTGCCTGCAACATCCTCCAGCATGACCGGTTTGGCGGTGGGTCTGTCATGGTGTGGTGGCATTTCTTTGGGGGGCCGCACAGCCCTCCATGTGCTCGCCAGAGGTAGCCTGACTGCCATTAGGTACCGAGATGAGATCCTCAGACCCCTTGTGAGACCATATGCTGGTGCGGTTGGCCCTGGGTTCCTCCTAATGCAAGACAATGCTAGACCTCATGTGGCTGGAGTGTGTCAGCAGTTCCTGCAAGAGGAAGGCATTGATGCTATGGACTGGCCCGCCCGTTCCCCAGACCTGAATCCAATTGAGCACATCTGGGACATCATGTCTCGCTCCATCCACCAACGCCACGTTGCACCACAGACTGTCCAGGAGTTGGCGGATGCTTTAGTCCAGGTCTGGGAGGAGATCCCTCAGGAGACCATCCGCCACCTCATCAGGAGCATGCCCAGGCGTTGTAGGGAGGTCATACAGGCACGTGGAGGCCACACACACTACTGAGCCTCATTTTGACTTGTTTTAAGGACATTACATCAAAGTTGGATCAGCCTGTAGTGTGGTTTTCCACTTTAATTTTGAGTGTGACTCCAAATCCAGACCTCCATGGGTTGATACATTTGATTTCCATTGATAATTTTTGTGTGATTTTGTTGTCAGCACATTCAACTATGTAAAGAAAAAAGTATTTAATAAGATTATTTCATTCATTCAGATCTAGGATGTGTTGTTTAAGTGTTCCCTTTATTTTTTTGAGCAGTGTAGCAGCAAAGGGGGGACCAACTCCATATTAATGCCCATGATTATGGAATGAGATGTTCGACGAGCAAGTGTCCACATACTTTTGGTCATGTAGTGAATGTGGTTGTCTCACCTAGCTATCTTAAGATGAATGCACTTTCTATTTAATTATAAAACATGTAATTATTTGTTATATTTGACTAGGTAAAACCTAGCAGTACTACATATTTCTCTGAGTGATGCACAAAAGATATACAGGGCATAGGCCTACCCCCAAAATCTGTTTCACTGCATGCTTTCTTCTTTCTCTCTTTTTTTCTGTGTAGGATGTGGTTAGCACAGTCACTTCCTGCGTCTCTTCTGAGAGGTTTCAGAGACAGAGATGTGGCAGGTGAGTCAAAGACCTTTCACATTGTGTCTTCACCCACAGTGGAACTTGATGCTTGGTTCTGCCTGGCCTTACTATCCTGGGTGGACGTTGTATATGAGAGACGGGTGGTGTTGGCTTTGTTTCTGTGGGCTGCTGTCCACTGTAGCGGTGTAAACTGAGGAGACCCTTGTAGACTAAGAGGACAGGGCGAGGTGGGGTGAGGGACATGGCGTCCCTCCTGATGCGTATCTTCCGTCTGGGGCCGGAGAAGAAGAGGGTGAAGCATTACGAAAACCTCCGGAGAGACGTGGACCCGCGAGAGACCTGGGACACCCAGGGGGAGCTGGGAGATGGGGCCTTCGGGAAGGTCTACAAGGTACCAGCAGCCTGGGGCCCAATGATGCTCAACTCTTCTTTTAACTTCTGGTCTGGTCTTGTCTCCTTTCTTCTCCTCTCCAAACCAAACCCGTAAAAAGATTACATTTAAGATGAAAATTCCTAAAATAAAATTCTATCATCTCTGATGGGATGGAGAGGAATGGCGCCTTACTCTGGATTTAATTCAATATGGCAATGATGGAGTGAAATTATGTCTCAGTGCAAAACAAGAGCAGTCAACTGTGTTACCAAACTTTGTAGTGCTTTTGATTTAAAGCTGTGTTGTGGATTTTCTCGATGGTTGGCAGAGTATTGCATGCGTCATGAGGCCATACTGTGGTTTGTCGTTTTCCTGTCAACCCATACAGGCTGAACTATAACTTCCTGTCTTGACGTATAATCCACACGCATCTGCTCTTCTGTTTTTGCAGAAACATGTTGACTGTTGTTGCACTGAGCTGACTGATTTCCGACTTTACTGTGATGGTTTTAGTCTTCATTTGTAAATTGTCAATGTAAAACACTGTTGTATATTATTGAATCCAAGATGCGAAGAACTAGGGCCACCTAGATTAGAGGGATGTCATGTGTATCTCTCTCACTGGTATATGAGTTCAAGGTATTGTTTGTGATATTGTGTCTTTTTTCGTACAAAGCATTTTGATGCAAAGCCTGCGAGAAGATGATGAATAACAAATAATATATAGACTAAAGCCAGTATACTGTAGATGGCACCGTAGAGACCTTCAGTGTAGTCCTCTGTCTGTGTTCAGGCCCAGAACCACACCACTGGGGCCTTGGCTGCTGCTAAAGTGATGGAGGTACGCAATGAAGAGCAGCTTGAGGACTATATCACCGAGATCGACATCCTGGCAGCCTGCCGCCATAGTAACATCCTTGGGTTGTTGGACGCCACCTTCTTTGAGGATTGGCTGTGGGTGAGGTCTTTTTCAGCTGCTTGACTCCATTGCCAGGTGTCAAAATTAATGCACTGAGTCAGGACTTTTTGGAGGGGGTTTCAGTAAACTATCCATTATATATATACAGTAAAGGCTTTTGATGATTGATTATTGAAGATGAAATCTCTTTCTGTCCAATAGATCCTGGTTGAGTTCTGCCCAGGGGGGGCCTTGGATGACATCATGTTAGGTGGGAGCCAAGCGTCATGTACTCCTTAGTTTCCACTTCTTTCGTTTTTCCTTCTCTGGGAAGTCACTGTTGTACTTATATGTTAGTGTGTGTGTGTGTGTGTGAACCCCCTAGAGCTGGAGCGGGGCCTGTCTGAGCAGCAGATCAGTGAGGTGTGCTGTCAGACACTGCAGGCTCTGTCCTACCTGCACCAGCACCACATCATCCACAGAGACCTGAAGGCAGGCAACATCCTCCTCACCATGGAGGGACACGTCAAACTGGGTACAACACTGCATAGCACACTCCTACAACTACTGGATTATAATTTTCTCTCTGTCTCTGTTCTATTCTCTCTCTCTGATTTTCCATCCATCCGTCCGTTTGTCTGTCTACCTGACTGTGTGTCTGTCTAAATATTATTTATAAGTCTATCCTAGTGTCTCTCTTATAGTGTATCAGTGCCTCTCATTGAGTCCTCTCAAAGCCCTGTTTCAATCCCCAGCTGACTTCGGAGTGTCTGCCAAAAACACACACACCCTCCAGAAGAGAGCCACTTTCATTGGAACCCCTTACTGGTTTGTCTTACCCCTATCAGTTTTGTATATGTTTAAATGTTGTTAGCATGCAGCCACATTCCCATGTGCATTCTTTTTCAACAACCCCAATGTCTACATTTGTCCGTCCGTCCCTCTGTCTGCCCATCCGTCTGTCCCAGGATGGCTCCAGAGGTGATCCAGTGTGAGACCTCCAAGGAAAACCCGTACGGCCCCAAGGCTGACGTCTGGTCCCTGGGCGTGACGCTGATCGAGGCTGCAGAGATGGAGCCCCCTCACCACTCACTCAACCCAATGAGGGTCCTGCTCAAGATCACCAAGTCCCCCCCACCGACCCTCAGCAACCCACGCCTCTGGTGAGTCAGGGACAGTCAATCATACAGTGGGGGAAAAAAGTATTTAGTCAGCCACCAATTGTGCAAGTTCTCCCACTTAAAAAGATGAGAGAGGCCTGTAATTTTCATCATAGGTACACGTCAACTATGACAGACAAATTGAGATTTTTTTTTCCAGAAAATCACATTGTAGTATTTTTTATGAATTTATTTGCAAATTATGGTGGAAAATAAGTATTTGGTCACCTACAAACAAGCAAGATTTCTGGCTCTCACAGACCTGTAACTTCTTCTTTAAGAGGCTCCTCTGTCCTCCACTCGTTACCTGTATTAATGGCACCTGTTTGAACTTGTTATCAGTATAAAAGACACCTGTCCACAACCTCAAACAGTCACACTCCAAACTCCACTATGGCCAAGACCAAAGAGCTGTCAAAGGACACCAGAAACAAAATTGTAGACCTGCACCAGGCTGGGAAGACTGCATCTGCAATAGGTAAGCAGCTTGGTTTGAAGAAATCAACTGTGGGAGCAATTATTAGGAAATGGAAGACATACAAGACCACTGATAATCTCCCTCGATCTGGTGCTCCACGCAAGATCTCACCCTGTGGGGTCAAAATGATCACAAGAACGGTGAGCAAAAATCCCAGAACCACACAGGGGGACCTAGTGAATGACTTGCAGAGAGCTGGGACCAAAGTAACAAAGCCTACCATCAGTAACACACTACGCCGCCAGGGACTCAAATCCTGCAGTGCCAGACGTGTCCCCCTGCTTAAGCCAGTACATGTCCAGGCCCGTCTGAAGTTTGCTAGAGTGCATGTGGATGATCCAGAAGAGGATTGGGAGAATGTCATATGGTCAGATGAAACCAAAATAGAACTTTTTGGTAAAAACTCAACTCGTCGTGTTTGGAGGACAAAGAATGCTGAGTTGCATCCAAAGAACACCATACCTACTGTGAAGCATGGGGGTGGAAACATCATGCTTTGGGGCTGTTTTTCTGCAAAGGGACCAGGACGACTGATCCGTGTAAAGGAAAGAATGAATGGGGCCATGTATCGTGAGATTTTGAGTGAAAACCTCCTTCCATCAGCAAGGGCATTGAAGATGAAACGTGGCTGGGTCTTTCAGCATGACAATGATCCCAAACACACCGCCCGGGCAACGAAGGAGTGGCTTCGTAAGAAGCATTTCAAGGTCCTGGAGTGGCCTAGCCAGTCTCCAGATCTCAATAGAAAATCTTTGGAGGGAGTTGAAAGTCTGTGTTGCCCAGCGACAGCCCCAAAACATCACTGCTCTAGAGGAGATCTGCATGGAGGAATGGGCCAAAATACCAGCAACAGTGTGTGAAAACCTTGTGAAGACTTACAGGAAACGTTTGACATTTACATTTACATTTTAGTCATTTAGCAGACGCTCTTATCCAGAGCGACTTACAGGAGCAATTAGGGTTAAGTGCCTTGCTTAAGGGCACATCGACAGATTTTTCACCTAGTCGGCTCGGGGATTAGAACCAGCGACCTTTCGGTTATTGGCACAACGCTCTTACCCACTAAGCTACCTGCCGCCCCAGGTACCTGTGTCATTGACAACAAAGGGTATATAACAAAGTATTGAGAAACTTTTGTTATTGACCAAATACTTATTTTCCACCATAATTTGCAAGTAAATTCATTAAAAATCCTACAATGTGATTTTCTGGATGATTTTTTCTCATTTTGTCTGTCATAGTTGACGTGTACCTATGATGAAAATTACAGGCATCTCTCTTCTTTTTAAGTGGGAGAACTTGCACAATTGGTGGCTGACTAAATACTTTTTTCCCCCACTGTACATGGAGATGTCTCTATTTTTATGACTCAGTGGTGGCTGGTGGCACCTTAAATGGGGAGGGCTGGCTCATAGTATCAAACACATAATTTCCCATATTGCTTTGGTCAAAAGTAGTGCACCATATAAGGAATAAGGTGCCATTTGGGATGCATCCCCTGACTCCCATCCCCATCCCCGTGTCCCTGCACTGTGTTCCCACTTTCAGGTCCTCCCATTTCCAGGATTTCCTGCGGAGGGCGCTGCAGAAGAACCCTGAGGCCCGGTGGGGAGCCCAGCAGCTCCTGGCCCACCCCTTCCCCTGCGCTGGACGGGACGGTCGAGCCCTGAAGGAACTCATCGCCGAGGCCAAGGCTGAGGTGATGGAGGAGACAGCGGTAAGAGATGGGGGATTCTTCCCAAATGGCACCCTATTCCACATAGGCTTTGGACAAAAGTAGTGCACTAGATAGGGAATAGAGATCGCCAGCTTATAGTCCTAAAAAACTGAAATGAGTTACCTTTAGTTCGTTCGGCCATTCCTATGAGAGACATTTATGGGGAAAGAATGGGGTTTTGGGATAAACGCTGAAAATAAGGTCTGAGGTTAACACAGGCTTAGGAGATCTTACACGTTTTGTTCTGTGAGAAAGTTAAAGTCAGTTAACATGACCTTATGAATTATGAAGCCTTTATGCGCTTTATGTGCTTGTTTTGATTACATAAATGCTTCAAAATTCACAAAAGGTGATGAAGATTATCTCATAGAACAAAATGTAGAAGATCTCCTATGCCTGTTTTCACCACAGACATTATTTTTCAAAACCCCTCCAAAACCCCCATTCATTTCCCCATAGGCTTTGGTCAACGAACAATGGTGGAGTTAGTGCGTATAGAAAGACGGCATTACTATTGCTCTCCATAGAGTGCCATTTGCGATACAGACTTGATTTGAGGGAATGATGCCTTTCTAGTGGAGATCTGCTTCGATCTAAAACGTGTTGGGAAAGTTTCTCTATTTCTGCTTCTATACAGTATACTGTAGGTGGAAGTTCATACATCAACTTTCCTTTGAGTGTTTTTATTTGTCTTAAAGTAGATAGGACAGAACATAGATTCAATTGAAATTGCCTCCTAAAGTCAGTCTTAAATGAACTACAATAGTAACACATCCTATTATTTTCTCTGCCAGTCCCTGATCGACCACGGGGGCTCTCTAGATGAGGACACAGTTGTGGTGTCGGATGGAGGGACTGCCCAGTCTGAGCAGGAAGAAGAGACAATGCAGGTACCAGAGAAACCTCAGGAGGGCCCATCTATCATACAGGATGGTACGAGTCCACCACCACCTCCACCCAACCCTGACCCAGTCCATTCCTCCACACCAGTGAAAGATGGTGGCACCGCAGGGACCAGGGTGGAGACTCCCAACACGGACAGGGCCAGAAAGCTGGCCAGGCGTCTGTCGGTCTGGGAGCCAGGGACCTTTCTCTCATTTCTGACCTCTGGTTCTCGCCGCTGCAAGTCCGGCCTCTGGGGAGACACCCCGTCGATTCCAGCCGATCAGAGCCAACGGAACAAGGAGGACAGTCCCAATGGCCAATCAGAAGAGCAGGAAGTGACAAATCCAGCAGGAGAGAGAGATGCAGGGGATGCGGAGAAGGATCTGTGTGAGAACGTTGGGAGGGGCAGCTTGGAGGGAGGGATCACCCAACCCATCCCTGAAACAAATGACACAGGAGATGATGCAGAAACAGAAGAAAAGGTTGAGGGGCAGAAAAAAGAGAAGGATGAAATTGCAAATGACTGTGAGGCCCAAGACCTTGACCTGGAAGTGGTTTCTTCTTCTGAACAGGAAATAGTAGGCATCCACACTGATATGAACCAAAACAGTACCAATGACTCTGTTGATGATGCACTTAACTCTGACGATAAACAACCAATGACTGAGGCTCAATGTTCAGTTAAGGAAATTGGTATCCTCAAATCAGCACCAAATAATGATACTAACCATAGGGTAGAAGAAGCTCCTCGCCAGTTAGTGCACACACTAAGTCCACTGGTTATAGCCTTGTCTTTGGAAATGCCCCACCCATCCACAAAGGAGAGAGGAGAAACACAGAACTCAGTGCTAGACTTCCTGGATCTGTCCACTCATAACCACTTCAAGATGGCCACCAGTGGGAACGCTGAGGAAGAGACGAAACAGAGCAAAGAGGAGAGGACTGAAGGGACAAAGGAGGAAATACAAGAGGAGACGGGAGAGGAGGAGCAGGAGCAGGACAAGGATGAGAAGATTTTCGAAGAGAATGAACTACCTGCTAAGAGAGATGAAGTGGCAGAGCATGAGGGGAGTAAAGTAGAAGAAAGGTATGAGATGCAGATAAATGAAGAAGGAATACAAGACAAGACATATGTGGAAGAAGAACAGGAGGTCAAGGTGGAGTTAAAGACAAGCGAAGGAGAGACAAGCAACTGTCCAGACAAAGGAATGGACTTAAAAGAACATGAGGCAAGTCCTGAAATGGAGGACGGAGAATCGAAGAGTGATATTGAAGAGACCGTACCATCAGAACAAACAGGAGAAATACAGACTGAAACAGAGAAGCAAAGAAGTGAATCAACAATGGATGTTGCGACCAGTGAAAAGAAGAAGAGTTTGAGGGCAAACACAGAAGATGAAATCCTTGATTTCAAAGTGACTGAATGTGAAAATGTAGCGAGAGCAGAGGACAGAACAGAGGAAAAAGATGAACAGAGTAAAGAGGAGGACCTTGGATTAGAAAGTGATAACATAGTGATTATCCAAGCACAAGAAACCAATATGACCATAAAGCAAGAACCGAAAGAAGAGAGAAACAAACAAGAGGACAGTAAGGGAGAAGAGAAGATGACAGACTCCCCAACTGGGGAACCTATGACGAGGGTGAACTTGACCTTGGAGTCAAATAGTGGGAGGGAGGAAGGAGGGAAAGAGGAAAGAGGGAAAAAGCTGGAGGAAGGAGGTAAGGAGGAGGAGACATGTCAGACCCAATTAAACATATTGACTGAACAGAACTCAACTAGATCGCAGGGAACAGCTACAGACACAGTACACCTGAACTCAGCATCAAATGGAAACTGGCACCAAGTGACAGACAATCAACCCAAGATGGTTGCCACTGATGACCAAGCTGACGTGACAGAGAAAGACAACTCAGTCTCAACAATGTCAAGACCTGTAGAGGTGAGTGATCAGAGCAGGTTCCACCCATTGTTTCCCCAAGTCAATATAATGTAGAACACAGAACACAAAGGTACAATTCATTAAGGTTAAAGAGACATTACACTCCAAAATCAAAGTTTCAAGGGGGCTTTCAAACCTCAAAAGTAGTCTGACAAAAGTAGATTTTAGAGTGTAATGTCCCTTTAAGATAAGCAATAAGAGGTGTTGTGTGCTTCCCTAGATAGATTACACCAACTAAACAGAAGCACTTTGTGAGTGTAATATTTTATTTGTTGTATTCCAGGAGTTGATCCATAACAGGAAGACGGTCAAAAGGACCCGGAAGTTCATGGTGGACGGCCGAGAGGTCAGCGTCACCACGTCAAAGGTCCTGAAGGAGACCGATGGGAAAGAGCGGCACATGCGGTCCACCAGGTAAACTTTTCCCTCTGGAAACAAGGCTTGGGCTCCAATGAAAAAATAACTAGATTAAGGATAGACTCAGAATGTCAAATATGTCTTGGATAGGAGACTTATAAAAATTCATATTCAACACATTCACTTCATTAGTTTGTTCAATCTCCGGAATCTCCCCTGTGTGTGTGTGTGTGTCTGTGTGTGTGTGTGTGTGTGTGTGTGTGTCTGTGTGTGTGAGTGCATATGTGTGTGCCTGACTATGCAGGCGCCAGGAGCTGCAGGCTTTAAAGCTACTTCAGAGGGAGGAGCAGAGAGAGTACTCCCAGATGGAGCAGCGGCTGCAGCAACAGAGAGAGATGATGTTCCGACAGATCGCCCAAGAGATGACAGTGAGTAGTGGGACCTAGAGTCCCGTTTGCGGAATATTTAGATAAAGCCTGGAATAAAAGAAAAAGGGCTACCTATAACTCAATTATAATATAATATTTAGCTTCTATATAGCAAATGGTATATACTGTATATTGTGTGTAGGCCTGTCTCCCACTTGAATCTTCTCTTTGTGCCAGACTGTGTTCAAATGCCTTCTGTTTCGTTTTTCTGTATTTATTTATCTGTATACAGTGGCTTGCGAAAGTATTCACCCCCCTTGGCATTTTTCCTATTTTGTTGCCTTACAACCTGGAATTAAAATGGATTTTTGGGGGGTTTGTATCATTTGATTTACACAACATGCCTACCACTTTGTAGATGCAAAATATGTTTTATTGTGAAACAAAAAATAAATATGACAAAAAAACAGAAAACATGAGTGTGCATAACTATTCACCCCCCCCAAAGTCAATACTTTGTAGAGCCACCTTTTTGCAGTAATTACAGCTGCAAGTCTCTTGGGGTATGTCTCTATAAGCTTGGCACATCTAGCAACTGGGATTTTTGCCCATTCTTTAAGGCAAAACTGCTCCAGCTCCTTCAAGTTGGATGGGTTCCGCTGGTGTATAGCAATCTTTAAGTCATACCACAGATTCTCAATTGGATTGAGGTCTGGGCTTTGACTAGGCCATTCCAAGACATTTAAATGTTTCCCCTTAAACCACTCAAGTGTTGCTAAAGCCCAGCTCTGTGGAGTGTACGGCTTAAAGTGGTCCTATGGACAGATACTCCAATCTCCGCTGTGGAGCTTTGCAGCTGCTTCAGGGTTATCTTTGGTCTCTTTGTTGCCTCTCTGATTAATGCCCTCCTTGTCTGGTCCGTGAGTTTTGGTGGACGGCCCTCTCTTGGCAGGTTTGTTGTGGTGCCATATTCTTTCAATTTTTAATAATGGATTTAATTGTGCTCCGTGGGATGTTCAATGTTTCTGATATTTTTTTAACCCAACCCTGATCTGTACTTCTCCACAACTTTGTCCCTGACCTGTTTGGAGAGCTCCTTGGTCTTCATGGTGCCGCTTGCTTGGTGGTGCCCCTTGCTTACTGGTGTTGCAGACTCTGGGGCCTTTCAGAACAGGTGTATATATACTGAGATCATGTGACAGATCATGTGACACTTAAATAAAGTCCACCTGTGTGCAATCTAACTAATTATGTGACTTCTGAATGTAATTGGTTGCACCAGATCTTATTTAGGGGCTTCATAGCAAAGGGGGTGAATACATATGCACGTACCACTTTTCCGTTATTTATTTTTTAGAAGTTTTTGAAATAAGTTTTATTTTCCATTTCACTTCACCAATTTGGACTATTTTGTGTATGTCCATTACATGAAATCCAAATAAAAATCAATTTAAATTACAGGTTGTAATGCAACAAAATAGGAAAAACGCCAAGGGGGATGAATACTTTTGCAAGGTACTGTATGTAGAGTATGTACAGTGAGGGACAAAAGTATTTGATCCCCTGCTGATTTTGTACGTTTGCCCACTGACAAAGAAATGATCAGTCTATAATTTTAATGGTAGGTTTATTTGAACAGTGAGATACAGAATAACAACAACAAAATCCAGAAAAATGCATGTAAAAAAAATTATAAATTGATTTGCATTTTTAAGAGGGAAATAAGTATTTGACCCCCTCTCAATCAGAAAGATTTCTGGCTCCCAGGTATCTTTTATACAGGTAACGAGCTGAGATTAGGAGCACACTCTTAAAGGGAGTGCTCCTAATCTCAGTTTGTTACCTGTATAAAAAACACCTGTCCACAGAGGCAATCAATCAATCAGATTCCAAACTCTCCACCATGGCCAAGACCAAAGAGCTCTCCAAGGATGTCACGGACAAGATTGTAGACCTACACAAGGCTGGAATGGGCTACAAGACCATCGCCAAGCAGCTTGGTGAGAAGGTGACAACAGTTGGTGTGATTATTCGCAAATGGAAGAAACACAAAATAACTGTCAATCTTCCTCGGCCTGGGGCTCCATGCAAAATCTCACCTCGTGGAGTTGCAATGATCATGAGAACGGTGAGGAATCAGCCCAGAACTACACGGGAGGATCTTGTCAATGATCTCAAGGCAGCTGGGACCATAGTCACCAAGAAACAATTGGGAACACACTACGCCGTGAAGGACTGAAATCCTGCAGCGCCCGCAAGGTCCCCCTGCTCAAGAAAGCACATATACAGGGCCGTCTGAAGTTTGCCAATGAACATCTGAATGATTCAGAGGAGAACTGGGTGAAAGTGTTGTGGTCAGATGAGACCAAAATCGAGCTCTTTGGCATCAACTCAACTCGCCGTGTTTGGAGGAGGAGGAATGCTGCCTATGACCCCAAGAACACCATCCCCACCGTCAAACATGGAGGTGGAAACATTATGCTTTGGGGGTGTTTTTCTGCTAAGGGGCAGGACAACTTCACCACATCAAAGGGACGATGGACGGGGCCATGTACCGTCAAATCTTGGGTGAGAACCTCCTTCCCTCAGCCAAGGCATTGAAAATGGGTCATTAATGGGTATTCCAGCATGACAATGACCCAAAACACACGGCCAAGGCAACAAAGGAGTGGCTCAAGAAGAAGCACATTAAGGTCCTGGAGTGGCCTAGCCAGTCTCCAGACCTTAATCCCCTAGAAAATATGTGGAGGGAGCTGTAGGTTCGAGTTGCCAAACGTCAGGCTCGAAACCTTAATGACTTGGAGAAGATCTGCAAAGAGGAGTGGGACAAAATCCCTCCTGAGATGTGTGCAAACCTGGTGGCCAACTACAAGAAACGTCTGACCTCTCAGACAGGGAGAGGTTGAACATGTCAGTGAAGACACTTGCCAGTTGGTCAGCGCATGCTCAGAGTACACGTCTTGGTAATCCGTCTTGCACTGCGGCCTTGTGAATGTTGTCCTGTTTAAAGGTCTTACTCACATCGGCTACGGAGAGCGTGATCACAGTCGTCCGGAATAGCTGATGCTCTCATGCATGTTTCAGTGTTACTTGCCTCGAAGCGAGCATATAAATAATTGAGCTCGTCTGGTATGCTCGTGTCACTGGGCAGCTCGCGGCTGTGCTTCCCTTTGTAGGCTGTAATAGTTTGCGATCCCTGCAACATCCGACGGGCGTCGGAGCCAGTGTAGTACGATTCGATCTTAGTCCTGTATTGACACTTTGCCTGTTTGATGGTACGTCGGAGGGCATAGCGGGAATTCTTATAAGCTTCCGGGTTAGAGTCCCGCTCCTTGAAGTGGCAGCTCTACCCTTTAGCTCAGTGCGGATTTTGCCTGTAATCCATGGCTTCTGGTTGGGGTATGCAAGTACAGTCACTGTGAGGATGACGTCATCAATGCATTTATTGATGAAGCCAGTGACTGATGTGGTGTACTCCTCAATGCCATCGGAAGAAGCCCGGAACATATTCCAGTCTGTGCTAGCAAAACAGTCCTGTAGCTTAGCATCTGCTTCATCTGACCACTTTTTTATTGACAGAGTCGCTGGTGCTTCCTGCTTTAGTTTTTGCTTGTAAGCAGGAATCAGGAGGATAGAATTATGGTCAGATTTGTCAAATGGAGGGCGAGGAAGAGCTTTATACGCGTCTCTGTGTGTGGAGTAAAGGTGGTCTAGAGTTTTTTTCCCTCTGGTTGCACATTTAACATGCTGGTAGAAATTAGGTTAAACAGACAGTTGATATTGAGATGTGCCTTTGACTTGAACTCTGTGAAGCATTTATTTGGGATGCAATTTCTGAGGTTGGTAACTCAAATGAACTTATCCTCTGCAGCAGAGGTAACTCTGGGTCTTCCGTTCCTGTGGTGGTCCTCATGAGAGCCAGTTTCATCATAGCGCTTGATGGTTTTTGCGACTGCTCTTGAAGAAACGTTCAAAGTTCTTGAAATGTTCCATATTGACTGACCATCATGTCTGAAAGTATTGATGGACTGTCGTTTCTCTTATCTTGTTTGAGTTGTTCTTGCCATAATCTTCTGTATACCACCACTACCTTGTCACAACACAACTGATTGGCTCAAACACATTAAGAAGGAAATAAATTCCACAAGTTAACTTTTAACAAGGCACACCTGTTAATTGAAATATATTCCAGGTGACTACCTCATGAAGCTGGTTGAGAGAATGCCAAGAGTGTGCAAAGCTGTCATCAAGGCAAAGGGTGGCTATTTGAAGAATCTTAAATATAAAATATATTTTGATTTGTTTAACACTTTTTTGGTTACTACATGATTCCATATGTGTTATTTCATAGTTTTGATATCTTCACTATTATTCTATAGTGTAAAAAATAGTAAAAATAAAGAAAGACCCTTGAATGAGTAGGTGTGTCCAAACTTTTGACTGGTAGTGTATGTATGGGGGACAGAGTGGTGCAGTGGTCTAAGGCACTGCATCTCAGTGCTTGAGGCGTCACTACAGACCCCCTGGTTCGATTCCAGGCTGTATCACAACTGGCTGTGATTGGGAGTCCCATAGGGTGGCGCACAATTGGCCCAGCGTCATCCGGGTTTGGCCGGTGTAGGCCGTCATTGTAAATAATAATTTGTTCTTAACTGACTTGCCTAGTTAGATAAATAAAATGTATGTACAGTATGTATATTTTTACTGCTCTGGGGATGTAGTAATTTTTTGGATAACCTTATTTACTATTATGTATAGATTTTTTTGTTTATATTTCTCACTCTTTATGCGAATTGCACTGCAGAGAACACCGGAGGAATTATCAAAGTGAATAATTGTAATGTTTGTTTATGTGTCAATTAATCCCATAAGGGATGGGTTGCCAACTGGCGATATGACACGAAAATAAAATGTCATATAATATACTTTATATGGCTCTGGTGGGGCCCTATTTAAATCACTGTTCTCTTGATATATTTGAATCTACATTCTCTTATTACACCACTGTGACTTGCAAACAATTTTTAAAAAAGGTTTTAAGGTATGGGATTTAAATTTGACGGCCTGATAGGGAACGACTCATTTTCTATATTGAGTGAGTGCATGAGATTTGTGGCAATCTTTTCCCCCGTCTTCCAAACTCAAGCAAATGTTGTGTGTTTTGTGTGCATTGTGCAGAGCAAGAAGCAGTATTACGACGGTGAGCTGGAGCGGGTAGAGAAGCAGTATGTGCAGCAGAGCAGCCGCATGGAGACAGAGCACACAGCCAGGCTCAGAGAGGACGCACGCAGACTCAAGAGCCAGCAGGAGAGAGAGCTGAACCGCAAGGGTGCCGTACTGAAGGCTCAACCCAGAGAGGTACACCCATGCGCACGCAAACACACACGCACACAAACGCACGCACACACACACACGCACGCACACACACACACGCAAGTACAACACGCACACACAGAGATCCCTTGGTATATCTTGTTTCCTCTTGTGTTCATCCTAGGAGGCGCGTTACCTGCAGAAGCAGCAGCAGGAGCTCAATGAGACTCTCCAGAAAGGAGTCCAGGAACACAAGAGGAAGGTGGCTTCTATGGAGTGGGACATCACTGTCAAGACCCAGCAACTTAAGCGAGGTACACACACACACACACGCACGCACACGCATAGCACACACTTACATATGCATGCACATACGCACACACATGCACACGCACGCACACACTCACAAATTAGTTACGATTATGGGCTGCTTTATGACAATGGTTAGGCACAAATCACAGACCGACAGGAAATTAGACATTTACCAAAATGGTGACATTGATTGTGTTTGTGCCAATATAAATATTTTATTCATTCACATGTATGGGCTCTTTGCCTGCAGCCCGGGAATCAGTCATTTGGGAGATGGAGCAGCGTCATCTGCAGGAGAAGTACCACCTCTTCAAGCAGCAAGTGAAGGAGCAGTATTCACTGCAAAGACAACAGGTTACCAAGAGGCACAGCAAAGTGAGTTGGAACGCTCTCACTAAGAACCCTAACCCCCCAACACACACACACACACACCATGACACCATGACCATGATCCCCTCTCCCCTGTTCCTTCTTAGGACACAGACAGGGCGTCCCAGTTCCATCGAGCATTGCTGGATGAGCAGAGGGCCCAGCAGGCCCAGGAGAAGACCAAGCTCCAACGAGCCCAGCGCACCGAGGCCAAGGCCAGGCTGGCCAACTTCAAGCTAGAGCTGAAGATAATGGGCCTGAGTGGGCCAGAGCACAGGCAGCACCTCACACTGGTTAGTACAGGGACTTGAACAGCTTCTCAGTTCCCAAATAGTTAACATTCTTTGCAGTGCTCACTTGGCCACTAGTAATTGTTTGTTTGGCAATCCTCTTTGTCTCTGTCTCTTTTTCTCTCTCTCTCACAATGTATATTTATGTCTCTCTCTCTCTCTCTCTCTCTCTGGATGTCAGTTTATGTCGTCGGAGGAGGGCAGGCAGCGAGAGGAGAGGCAGAGTTTGCAGCAGGTCCAGGAGGGCCAGCTGAGGGAGGTGCAGGAGCAGTGTGACGGCAATATGTCCGAACTCCAGGAGCTGCAGGTGCACTACACTACACCCCATGTGTTAGGAAGCTCATTGGGTTGTAGATATTAATATTATATCTACTATAAATTGGTGTACTCTATAATATAATGTATTCATATAATCAAATAAGCATAATTGATTATATGAAGAAAATAAAAAAAATGAATGTGTGTGTGCTCATGTGTGTTTCAGAATGAAAAACTGCAGCTGTTAGTGGACATGGAAAAGAAGAAGATACGGAGATTAGAGGATGAACACACTCTGGAGCTGAACGAGTGGAAAGACAAGCTGGCCTGCAGGAAAGAGGTATGGGAGACAGAGAGAGAAAGAGAGGATGTTGTGGGAATAGTGTGTTGAATGGCAAAGCAAGTAGGGAGAAAGGAGACAGTGAGTGGATATTGTTCAATGTTCAGCTGCCATATCCATTAGCCATGCACACCATGCTAACAGGTTAACGATGAGAGGCAACAGGGCAGCATTTCAAATCTGAAAACATGCTCCCTTCGTACTTGTTGACCTTGAAGATCTGAAAAGGTTAATTAAGGTTAGGTATGGCTCCAGGGAGAAATGGGCATTGCTCAATGTTCAGTTGTCATATCCATTAGACATGCATACACTTCTAACAGCTTGCTACACTTGAACTTGTTGACTTGACCTTGATTGTTCAATGAGGGTATAGTCTGTCTGTTTGTCTGTCCGTCCATCCGTGTTTGAACGTGTTTCTGCCTGAGTGTCCAGGCATAGCCTCGTAAAGTGTGTCTGTGTATCTATCTGTGTGTCTGTCTGTCCATCCGTCATCCATCCATCTGTCTGTGTTTGAATATGTTTCTGTCTTTGTGTGCAGGTGTTGGAGGAAGACCTGGCTCGCCGGAGGAGAGAGAAGGAGGGAGCGAAGAGACGGGGGAGTGAGCCTGAGTCCAGGTTTGCACCTCGACGCTCACGGTTCTTCTCAAGCCTCAATTTCTCTTAACTGACCATGACCAAAAGAGAAAACAATCCTGAAAAATCAAACTGCGTTTTCTATCAGACACACACACTCTCACAGGGACTCACATACGTGTATATAAAAAACATACTATCTATTTTACTCTGTCAGTGCCTGAAATATTTTGAAGGCCCTAACTAATTCTACAGAGGAGTGAGTATAAGAGGAATTACTGACAACATATATATATTTTTGTCAAATATTGTATATGCCTCTCTTGCAAGAGAATAGAGGAAATGTTTGTACATATTTCAATAGTTGACCACTGAAGGATGTGTAGCAAGCTACTTTAGTATGTGTTCATTCAAACACTGTTGTGGGGCAGACATTTCCACTTCTTTTCTTTTTAACCTAATGTTTGCAATAAATTACAAATCCATATTAAATGTTGGTCATGATCTATTGCTGAGTATCTCTGTTCTTTGCAGAAAACGTGTTTCTACACAATTTGGTTAATATGTTTGGTTGATGATGCCAAGTGTTGAAATCAATATTGTAGCCTATTTGAATTTTGCATTGTTGGGAAATTGGGTGTTTGATACCTGTGATTGTGAGCACATGTCCCCCTGGTGGCTGAAGACAGCACCAACAATTCGGGTTGGAATACCCAGAATGCAACAGGGATCACCTAAGCAACGTAACGCTTCCAGAAATCAATAATAAAGATGGACGCCTTTGTTTGGGTGCTGATAACTTTGCATTCATGGCCATTTTTTAAGTTCAGTGTAGCACAAAACAGGGACGATTTCAATTATACGTTTGCACGGGCTAACGATTCGGTCATCGATTTGTTTGGTAAGCATAATTTCACGGATTACGAGAATTCCACCGCTCTAGACGCTGAGAGTGTTTCAACTGGACCGACTGTGGTTAGCACAAGAGAAGGGACTGGTTTTAGCACACCGTCAACCACAGAGTCCACGTCCACGCCACCGTCGATGTCTCCTCAAGTACCTCTGCCGCTCTCCGGCTCCCTGCCTCCCTCTGTCACGGATGGTAAGGACGGTTGATTGTCTCTCAAAATGTAATGTCTCTGCACCCTACTTTCTGCACTATGGCCTACACTACTTTAGACAGAAGAACACTTATCAGATATATTTCATGGAAATGTATTTGTTCGAAAGTATTTGAACAGGGCCATACATAAGAGTACATAGATATTGAATATACAATTTTAAGGCAATCTACATGTGATGTGGTTTGTGCATAGTCCAATAAAGCCCATAACATGGGTAAAAGGGCGGGTAGGCCTATACCCCGTTCTGTTATAGCAAGCCTAACATAAGGTGGATTCCAGATATATACTGTATTGAATGTACTATGGGTTACTATTATATTAATGTGGTCCCTTAGATATAGGTTGTCTCCCAAATGGCACTATATTCCTTATACAGTCCACTACTTTTGACCAGAGCACCCCTATGGGCCCTGGTCAAAAGTAGTGCTCTATATAGGGAATAGGGTGCTATTTGGGATGTACACAGTCTTGGAAATCCCAGACCTAGGGCAACAGCACATTGTTTACATTGTGAGAGGCAACCCATCTGTCTAGAAAGACTAACACACGCATAAGGATCAGGGAATTAGCCTAGGTGTAACCCATTAGGTGAGCTCAGTCTACGTTGCTGTATCACTTCAGCTAAATAAGCTTTCTTTATCCTCAGTTTCCAGAATTTGCCCGTGCGATCAATCAAAGGACCAGTGTGACCCCAACTGTTGCTGTGACCCAGACTGCAGCGAAGAATTCGCTCTCTTCACCGGCTGTACAGTGGAAACAGTCCGGCAAGTCACTAGTCCTCCTCCTTCCTTTTCTGATGACTTGGGATTTGACATGATCAGTGTAATAATTGATTTATGTGTTCTTTCCAGTGGTGAGCCGAAGCTTTGCAGTCAGGACGTGGCCACCTACACCATTAGTGAAACTATAGACGGCTATGCTCAGGTGCAGACGTCTGTCCAGCAGGAGGTTAACCTAGACGTCTTCTGCATACAGTCAACTAACTGTACGTTTAATAGGCCTTGATATAATATGATCTAGGCCGTGGCTACGAATACAGAGTTTTCGGCCTCGCCTCACGCCCACCTGCCGTTCCGGAAACCTCTTTTTTAAAATCTAAGGATCCGGATCACATTCGTTTTTCTAATGTAGCTGCTGCTCACTCCCCCCTTCGTGTTTCTCTCTTTACTCACCCTCTTCTGAACCCTGATGATGTAGCCTATGTCTCTGTCTCATATTTCTAAACAGCTGAAATAAAAACCCTATGGCAATTTGAACGAACATTCCAAAACATATTATGAAGGCTACAACCTTCTCTGTCTGTCTGTTGTAACGGGTATTGCCGTTGCACAAGCAGGACGCAGTACTTACACTTTCAGCGTTTTGTGTGATGATGTAGGCTAATCTTTACAGTTGCTGCCATATGGTAGTTCCTGAAAAAAGAACACTCCATGACTGAAAGTCTGCCTCCTGCGCAGCTTAGCCAATGTTTGCAATGATGATTTAAAAAAACAACAACATTCAATCGCTAATTAGACTGTGTTTCTGTGTCTTGCTGCATCCCACCGCTGGGCAGCCAAACTTTCTAGGCAGCTGGGCATTTATCCGGACCGGTGAAAAGAGTCAGTTCGTTTTGCATTGACCTGGTGCCATAGCTATGCCATATATGCTAATATTGTGGTGAGAGTAAATAGCTGCATGTAACTCAGCAGCTAAGAAGAGCATCAAATCGCTAGACTACCTGTTTGTGTTGTGCTTATGTTTGCAATACTGACAACAAAGTGTGTACGAACATGTCGATAATGTATTTTGTGTAAAACATGTAAATAGCTGCATGTAGCCTACTCCCCTCCTGAAAAAATAACATGAAATCGCGCTTTTGCTTATTGAGGAATGGAATGCAATAGTTTGAACAGTTTTGTGTACAACATGAAGTTTGTAGGCTACACCAAATCAAATGTTATTTGCCACATGCGCCGAATACAACAGGTGTAGACATTACAGTGAAATGCTTACTTACAAGCCCTTAACCAACAATGAATTTTTTAAAGATGAAAATAAAATAAGTGTTAAGTAAAAAAAATAAAAGCAAATAACTGAAGAGCAGCAGTAAAATAAAATAACAGTAGGGAGGCTATATACAGGGGGGTACCGGTGCAGAGTCAATGTGCGGGGGCACCGGCTAGTCGAGATAATTGAGGTAATATGTACATGTGGGTAGAGTTAAAGTGACTATGCATAAATAATAAAAAGAGTAGCAGCAGCGTAAAAGAGGGGGGTGGGGGGGGGGCAGTGCAAATAGTCCGGGTAGCAATGATTAGCTGTTCAGGTGTCTTATGGCTTGGGGGTAGAAGCTGTTGAGAAGCCTTTTGGACCTAGACTTGGCGCTCCGGTACCGCTTGCCTTGCGGTAGCAGAGAGAACAGTCTATGACTAGGGTGGCTGGAGTCTTTGACAATTTTGAGGGCCTTCCTCTGACACCGCCTGGTATAGAGGTCCTGGATGGTAGGAAGTTTGGACGACTGTCTTGGTGTGTTTGGACCATGATAGTTCGTTGGTGATGTGCACACCAAGGAACTTGAAGCTCTCAACCTGTTCCACTACAGCCCCGTCGATGAGAATGGGGGCGTGCTCAGTCCTCTTTTCTTTCCTGTAGTCCACAATGATCTCCTTTGTCTTGATCACGTTGAGGGAGAGGTTGTTATCCTGGCACCACACGGCCAGGTCTCGGACCTCCTCCCTATAGGCTGTCACATCGTTGTCGGTGATCAGGCCTACCACTGTTGTGTCATCAGCAAACTTAATGATGGTGTTGGAGTCGTGCCTGGCCATGCAGTCATGGGTGAACAGGGAGTACAGGAGGGGACTGAGGGGCCCCCGTGTTGAGGATCAGCGTGGCAGATGTTTTGTTACCTACCCTTACCACCTGGGGGCGGCCCGTCAGGAAGTCCAGGATCCAGGTGCAGAGGGAGGTGTTTAGTCCCAGGATCCTTAGCTTAGTGATGAGCTTAGAGGGCACTATGGTGTTGAACGCTGAGCTGTAGTCAATGAACAGCATTCTCACGTAGGTGTTCCCCTTGTCCAGGTGGGAAAGGGCAGTGTGGAGTGCAATAGAGATTGCATCATCTGTGGATCTGTTGGGGCGGTATGCAAATTGGAGTGGGTCTAGGATTTCTGGGATAATGGTGTTGATGTGAGCCATGACCAGCCTTTCAAAGCACTTCATGGCTACAGACGTGAGTGCTATGGGTCGGTAGTCATTTAGGCAGGTTATCTTAGTGTCCTTGGGCACAGGGACTATGGTGGTCTGCTTGGAACATGTTGGTATTACAGACTCAGTCAGGGACATGTTAAAAATGTCAGTGAAGACACTTGCCAGTTGGTCAGCACATGCCCGGAGTACACGTCCTGGTAATCCGTCTGGCTCTGCGGCCTTGTGAATGTTGACCTGCTTAAAAGTCTTACTCACATCGGCTACGGAGAGCGTGATCACATAGTCATCCGGAACAGCTGGTGCTCTCATGCATGCTTCAGTGTTGCTTGCCTCGAAGCGAGCATTGAAGTGATTTAGCTCGTCTGGTAGGCTTGTATCACTGGGCAGCTTGCGGCTGTGCTTCCTTTTGTAGTCTGTAATAGTTTTCAAGCCCTGCCACATCCGACGAGTGTCAGAGCCGGTGTAGTACGATTCAATCTTAGTCCGGTATTGACTCTTTGACTGTTTGATGGTTCGTCGGAGGGCATAGCGGGATTTCTTATAAGCGTCTGGCTTAGAGTCCCGCTCCTTGAAAGCGGCAGTTCTACCCTTTAGCTCAGTGCGGATGTTGCCTGTAATCCATGGCTTCTGGTTGGGGTATGTACGTACGGTCACTGTGGGGATGACATCATCGATGCACTTATTGATGAAGCCAGTGACTGATGTGGAGTTCTCTTCAATGCTATCTGAAGAATCCCGGAACATATTCCAGTCTGTGCTAGCAAAACAGTCCTGTAGCTTAGCATCTGCATCATCTGACCACTTTTTTATTAACCGAGTCACTGGTGCTTCCTGCTTTAGTTTTTGCTTATAAGCAGGAATCAGGAGGATCGAGTTATGGTCAGATTTGCCAAATGGAGGGCGAGGGAGAGCTTTGTACGTGTCTCTGTGTGTGGAGTAAAGGTGGTCTAGACTTTTTTTTCCTCTGGTTGCACATTTAACATGCTGGTAGAAATTAGGTAGAACGGATTTAAGTTTCCCTGCATTAATGTCCCCGGCCACTAGGAGCGTTGCCTCTGGATGAGCGTTTTCCTGTTTACTTATGGCCTTATACAGCTCATTGAGTGCAATCTTAATGCCAGCATCGGTTTGTGGTGGTAGATAGACAGCTACGAAAAATATAGATGAAAAGTATCTTGGTAAATAGTGTGGTCTACAGCTTATCATGATATACTCTACCTCAGGCGAGCAAAACCTTGAGACTTCCTTAGTATTAGATTTTGTGCACCAGCTGTTGTTTACAAATATACACAGACCGCCACCCCTTGTCTTACCGGAGTCAGCCGTTCTATCCTGCCGATGTAGCGTATATCACGTCAGCTGTATGTTGTCCATGTCGTCGTTCAGCCACGACTCTGTGAAACATAAGATATTACAGTTTTTAATGTCCCGTTGGTAGGATAACCGTAATCTTAGGTCATCCAATTTGTTCTCAGATGATTGAACATTGGCTAATAGGATTGATGGAAGATGCAGTTTACTCGCTCGCCGTCGGATCCTTACAAGGCACCCCGACCTATGTCTACGATATCTCTGTCTAATCCCCGAGCCCACTAGGTGAAAAATCTGTCGATGTGCCCTTGAGCAAGGCACTTAACCCTAATTGCTCCTGTAAGTCGCTCTGGATAAGAGCGTCTGCTAAATGACCAATTATTATAATTATATTTCTCATGTGAATAACAGGGATTTGGGCCTTGTCGGGTGTCTGTAGGATATCCTTCGCGTCCGGCTCGTTGAAGAAAAAATCTTTGTCCAATACGAGGTGAGTAATCGCTGTCCTGATATCCAGAAGCTCTTTTTGGTTATAACAGACGGTGGCAGAAACATTATGTACAGAATAAATTACAAATAACGCGGAAAACACACATAATAGTACAATTGGTTAGAGGGCTGTAAAATGGCAGCCATCTTCTCCGGCCCCACTTCAATGTGACCAGACAAAGGCGATCAAGGAGGGGGGAGCGGCAGCAGAGCTCTCAGCACAGCAAGTACGTTGGCAGTGGAGTGGGCACTCGGCTATGTATTTTCTTTCTTCCTGCATACGCACAGAATTTGTAGCCTGGGCAAATTGGGATACTGAAACTCCGTATCCGTAGCCACTCTGTACAATCCATGACCTGATTCTCATGCTCCCTCCACTCTAGTTATTTAACCTCTTTGGTTAACTAGCAGTTTATTAATGTTAGTTGATCAATATCTGACATAAGTAGGGATATACACACCTGTAATACAGAAAAATGTGAAAGTGTGATTCTTGAATTTCAAACGTCTGAAAGCATAATTGATCTATGAGTCTATGATAAGGTAACAATTATCTATGTACTGTACATCTGTGTTGAAGATGAGGCAGGACTGTCCCTCGCCACACCTGAGGTTCCTACCGCAGGGAACTTTGATGGCCTCTACAAGCACTTTGTGCAGTTCTTGTTTGGTTCTGCCAATAATGGGGCCACATCGTCTACAGTGGAACCCCTAACCTCACCTGGATACCTGGTGAGACTCACTCAAACCCCACACTGTTGACAATATCCATCAAGAAGAATCAAGTGTTTTTGTTTTGAGGTTGTTGTCTGGTGATAGTACAAGATACCTAATAGTGAAACACCCTTGGGATCTCTGTCTGCTGCAATGAACACATTTTGACACTAGCTTCAGTTAGCGCCTTCTCTCTCTTTCCAACTATTTTTTCCCCCTTCAGTACAGAGATGTCATAGAAACGGAGGAAGAAAGTGGAGGAAGGGGGTTCTTCCGGTTGCCGGCCCCCTCTGTTACGGCCCACTGCTCTGACCTGAACCCTGCAGGTACAAGAGAACTGTTCACCTCCATATACATTCACACTGTCAGTATTGGCCCCCTCCCAATTAGGTCCCTAGTTTTTCACAGATCTGAAGGGGGATAGGGGTAAGCAGTAATGTGATGGCTCTACTTAAATACCCATACATTTTTACATTGAGCCATGGAGCTTTTCACATTGCTTTCACCTATCTAGTCCTTTTAGATGGGTGAAAAATAAAAGGGCTAGGGACCGACATGGAACCAGAACACGGCTGAGTGTTCTCAGTGTTTGTGTGGAAGAGGAGGAGGATGACGAAGAGGAGGAGGTTTGAGGGGAAGGGGCCAGAGGCCAAAATAGAAGGGGGTCACAATGTAACCACACCACTTTGTCCTCATCCCTCACTTTAGCCTAAACCTCTCTCCTCTTCAGCGTTCCTGAGGGAGCAGAGCAATAGATGCGTGCGGAGCCTGGTCCTGGAGTGGGACTGTACCACCTTGCAGGCCCTGAACATGCACAGCTACACTGGCCCCCGCCTCCTCTCTGTGAGTTGGTCTGTCCTTGATGTTCAGCTTTATGTTTTGGAAAGTTCAAACTGTTTTAATCTTAAAGTCACTGTCCAATGAAAATCACAATTTTAAAAGTTCATGTTCTGTCAACTCATACCCAAATAATGTGGTTGACTAGTACTTTTACTTGTAGTTGTGGCCAGCATAAATTAGAGAAAAACCACTCTGTAAAACCCCACCTCAAACTTGTATCTGAACAGGCCAATTCCCTTTTTATTTCACAGAAGAAGAGTGAAGATGCGCGTGTTGTGGCTGTGGAGGTGACCTCCATCGTCCTGCAATCTTTGGAGGGGACTCAGACCCAGCTGAACCTCACTGGTGACTTGAGCCTGGACCCGCTACTGTTGGTCACTATGGTCCCTGACTCAGCAGTGTGCATCAATGTGGTGCTCCAGGTGAATTCTAAAGTCTCACAAAGCAAGCTACGCAGGATGGCCGCTCTGCCAACAAAAAACATACAAACGTGTGGAGCGAGGCAATTTGTATAACTCCACGCAAGTACGCAGGAACTATTTTGCATAGATAAATGTGACAGATACCCTGTCTCATGGCCAAGGGAGGTGGTAGGTGGGAATGAGGAGGACCTACCACCTTGATTGTAGGAAACATGGCTTGACTTGAAGAAGACTTGTCCTTTATCATAAACATTCAGACTCAAATCACTTATGTCAAATTTTTTACATTCTGTTTTCCTCTGCTGACAGGTTGGTTACACGGTCACGTACAGTGAGGCTGGAGACATTGTGAATGTGACCGCTTCCTTGGTACTTGGAGCCATTGACCGTAACATGGTTCCAATGGAGCAGGAGTTTCAAATTGCATTCGTCCAGGTGCCATATTTATGTATTGTTTTAGCATTTTGCATCATCCAGAAAAGTGGTTTACTCTTAATTTAAATGAAAGCCAAAATCACGATCACTTCAGTCAGTAATACTTCTCTCCCCTTGATGTCTTCTGCTAGCAGAATGTGGACGAAGTGGCGCGCCACTCCAGTGGGAATCCTGGTTATGTTGTGGGGCTCCCTCTAATGGCTGGATCCAAAACAGCAGAATATCCTTTTTTGGAGATGCCGCTAGTTTTATATTTACTGGAGGTGGTTGAGTGAGTTGGGTATAATTTCTCTTACATGTGTCGTGACGTGACTTACTTTAATGTATGACTGTTATTTATCTAATCACCTAACTATGTTTAATTGTCACTCGATTAAATTAATAATGTAACAATTAACTCATTAGGAATTTGGGGCACCACGGAAGAAGTTGTTTAACGAGTTACCATCTCCCGAATTAAATCTTAGAAGATATGTTATATATATCGATAACAGTCACTTATTAAATAATTACCTCTTATCAGTCTCATTCTGAATGTCGCATAATCCTTGAACCTGCAAGAACCCTAACCTTATTGATGAATCAGCAATACACAAATTGGCTTAATTATTTATTTACTAACTAACTAAATAATAACAATACAAACACACATAGGTTATTGATTTCTAACGTAATACAATGAAAACAGGTCCCTAGTGGACTGGACTAACATTAGCATGAATGCTTGGGTAGTGGAGGGGTCAGAATGGAAGGGAGAGACAAGAGATTCAAACTATCGTAGTTACTTTGGAGACTATGCTCACAGTAATCATAATTCTTATGCACCCTAATAACGCTAATTCGGATTAGAAATGCAACATGTATTTACGTGTAGCTGTCCTCGAGAGTTGAGTTGATGATGTAGGACTCTGGTTTGCCGACCAGAGATCCCAATGTCCTTGGTAGAGTTTCTGGTCGTAGTAGTGGTTAGAATGGATACTTCAGATGTACCAGTGGTTGTCGGAGAGGGATTGTCCTCTATCTCTTGTCTTTAGTGAAAGTTCTCTAGACAACTATACATGCCAGCTGCAGACTGAAATGATAAGGTCTAGTGCATTGTCTTCTTCACCTCGTGTAGAGGTTCAGAGTTTCTCCATTTCAAACGTGTGGACTAACGTCTCACGTTTTCTGGTCTTTCTGGTCTTGTAGAAATTCAACCATTTTAAGCCGTGGGGCTTGCTGGTCTGGTAGAAATTCAACCATTTGCAACGTTTAGCTCACGCTTCACATCTGCTGGTCTAAAGGTTGATTTGTTTTTCAAGGCTTTTTATGCACTCGGGGTAAAGGGGGCGTTCCATCATGTTTACACGATCTCTGATGTCACTCGGGGCGTGGCTAGTCATAGTAATAATATGCCATTTAGCAGACGCTTTTATCCAAAGCGACTTACAGTCATGCGTGCATACATTTTTTGTGTATGGGTGGTCCCGGGGATCGAACCCACTACCCTGGCGTTACAAGCGCCGTGCTCTACCAATTGAGCTACAGAGGACCATAGTTTATATGAAAAACTATTTTCTCATTTAGAAGACTAAAATCACATTCCTATCTTCACCAAAATTTTATACAACAATTTAGATGTAAACTTCATAGATAGAATATGTACACTTTCCGAGTTACAGTTATTACTTGATACCATCCTTAATGACATCACAAAATAATAAACAATATGACATGATTATTCTTTAGATCCCCACTGACCATTTCCCACATTCTTTTAAGTAGGATTATTGTTTCATTATCCACTTTTGGATGTTGGGGTCTTGGCAGAAAGACTTCCTTTGTCTCACAGGGAAATTCTTTCTTCCCATACTAGAGACCAAAATGAGTCCTTTTCTGCAAACTATTTATGACCGGCTGTTAAGTCATAAAACTGGCACACAGGAAAGGGGGTGTTCAAACCTTTGCCTAGCAGGCATGTTTGATCCTCAACCCATGAGGGCAAGTCATGACACATGGCATATTCTTCATGTGTTTTCAGGTCGTCAACTATCCATTTGTTGTGATCAAAGTGGCATGGGATCCCTTTGAAAAGCAGCAGAGGCTTCAGCTTTCTATGACCTGTGGATTCACTAGTTCCTTGGTTTTCTTGAAATAACTCCCTATTTCGCAGTTTTTTAAGAGATATGAACATGAAATATGCACCCTATTACTGACTCAATGCTGAATAACCCATATTGAAACGTATATGAAACCTATAAGTTATATCTGAGTATTTCTCAAATGTGAAGAGATGTCAGACATATTGTATTTGTGTCCTTAACTGTCCTGCTTACTGGAATAGTTCAGAGTGCTGATTCGAGGGGAGCTCTTACCCTCCTCCATGGCTCCAAACTGTCAGACTGTCTCAGAGGGCCCCATCACCGCTCCCCTGTCCTGTTCGGGGTTGACATGGTGTCAGGCTGCACGTTGAGGTGAGAGAGGACGACTGCTCTGTTCTACAGGACCTAAGGCCCAATCCCAAACAAATCCCTTGCCACTTTTTCTTGACCCTTGTCCCTCAGCCCCTAATGTGAATGTCTTTGGTTGTCTGTAAGTAACTAAGGCATAGGGGTGAAGGGTTGGTTAGGGAAATACTGTATTTCTCTTATCTCTCTTGCTCTAGGTTGGATGAGACTGCTAACTGCTCAGTGGTATCAGAAGTGGTTCTAGGAGTATTGAGGGGACAAAGCTTCCCCCAGTATGTGGCCTCTTTTGGGAATTCCCCACCTCAGAACCCAATGGACTGGGTGCCAATAAGGAACCAAACCAAACCTACGGTGAGAAGCTTTGGGCAAAGTATTTTCAATACTATTCATTGTGATGTATATGTTCCTGTTATACCATATATTAAGGATACAGAGACAACCATTACATTAAAACATACTCCAACGATGACACAAAACAGTAGATGAAATTGATAAGACATTTGGATTGAATCTTGAAAGTTTGCAGAGAAGGGATGTTATGTTGAAGGTCTTCCACCACCAACAGACGTAGCTTGCTTTTGAGAAGTGCTTTTTCCGGTTTCTCAACAACCACAATGGTGTAAACAACAATGAGTCCATATTGATGGTTGGTTAATAACAGCCCTTATATGTTTCTATTCTCTTGGGCTAAGCAGGAAGCTCAGAGTTGCAGCATTCCCCTGTCTCTTCACCTGGAAGTGCAATGGACCCAATATGGATCCCTGGTGAACCCGCAGGCTCAGATTGTCAGTGTCATTGAAGTGATTCACACCAACACCAGCAACCTGGTAAACCTTGAGTCATCTTAAACATTATGGGACTTGGGACGTTTCCCAGATTAGGCCCACTGCTATACTAAAATGCATGCTCAATGGAGAATCTCCATGAAAGTGCTTTTTAGTCCAGGACTAGGCTTAGTTTTTTAAAACTGCTTTGGTACTATTTTCACAACTCTTAGTACAAAACTCCAAACTGGTCACACTTGTAACGCAGCCAGTCTTTCATTCAAAACCTGTCATTGTGCATTCATTTGGATTGCAAAAATCTCTCACCACACAACCATTGATTCAAAATATAAGTTTGTGAAATGTAATGAGAACATTGGTTTAATCACCAAAACACAACATATGATATCTTTTCAATTTAGTCGTTTTAACTTCCAGTTAATCCAATAGAAAACAATGCAAGATGCGTGTTTCAAATCACCCTTAGAAGCGTTGAAAGTAATATGATACTGTACTGTAGATTACAGTTTTCACATTAGGCAATACACTTACATTACCCAACAAAATTGACAGAAAATCAATAATTTTCATAATATCTATCCAATTTGCAATCAAAGGTGTGCTCGATGAAGACATCCTCTATAATTATTCATGCAAAAAAACATTGTATTTTTCAGATATAATTGCAACATAGGTGTACTGTCTGTAATCAAATGTAAGAAATTAAATGAAACAAATTTAAATGAATGAAAATAAAACACAACGTTTAGCACGCACTCATTTGCATCAATCCTGTCTTGAGTATTTGGCCATAAATTCTCATCCACATCACAGTGAATGTCCTCATTGTTTATGCTTAGTGGGAAAACCCTTTTGGCATGGCGAATCCAAACTTGACATTGGTCTGCATTGATGTCGCCGCAGGCCTCATTCATGGCCAGAAGGAGGGTGGCTGACCTTACACATTCCACCATGCTGAAAAAAGTTCCTCAATACGATTGTGGAAAGGAGAGGATGGGGTCACGAATGGGCCCGAAACCATCCCTGACCACCTCTGCATGGTGGAACTTGACATTGTCCCACACAATGACATAGGTGACCTCTTCACCTTGACAGGCCTGCTCAATTTAATTGAGGAACACAGAGGTGTGCAGCGTTGTAGGATCCAAGTAATGGCCTACATCCTACCACACCATCTTCAGAGAAAGCTGACACATGGAGATGTTTCCCCCAAGTTGTCCAGGCACTTAGACGGTCGCCTGTTGGCCGATGAGGTTCCACCCTGTAATTTAAATTGATTTTTATTTGGATTTCATGTAATGGACATACACAAAATAGTCCAAATTGGTGAAGTGCAATGGGAAAAAATAAATGTTTCAGAAAATTCTAAAAAATAAATAACGGAAAAGTGGTGCGTGCATATGTATTCACCCCCTTTGCTATGAAGCCCCTAAATAAGATCTGGTGCAACCAATTACCTTCAGAAGTCACATAATTAGTTAGATTGCACACAGGTGGACTTTATTTAAGTGTCACAGATCTGTCACATGATCTCAGTATATATACACCTGTTCTGAAAGGCCCCAGAGTCTGCAACACCACTAAGCAAGGGGCACCACCGAGCAAGCGGCACCATGAAGACCAAGGTGCTCTCCAAACAGGTCAGGGACAAAGTTGTGGATAATTACAGATCAGGGTTGGGTAAAAAAAATATACGAAACGTTTTTTTTGGTCTTATTTCTTGTTTGCTTCACATAAAAAAATATTTTGCATCTTCAAAGTGTTAGGCATGTTGTTTAAATCAAATTATACAAACCTGCCAAAAATCAATTTTAATTCCAGGTTGTAAGGCAACAAAATAGGAAAAATGCCAAGGGGGTGAATACTTTCGCAAGCCACTGTAAAATTGTTTTTTGGGGGGGGTTTGTATCATTTGATTTACACAACATGCCTACCACTTTGAAGATGCAAAATATTTTTTGCTGTGAAACAAACAAGAAATAATACAAAAAAACAGAAAACTTGAGTATGCATAACTATTCACCCCCCCCCCCACCCCCCCCCACCCCCAAAGTCAATACTTTTTAGAGCCACCTTTAGCAGGAATTACAGCTCCAAGTCTCTTGGGGTATGTCTCTATAAGCTTGGCACATCTAGCCACTGGGATTTTTCCCCATTCTTCAAGGCAAAACTGCTCCAGCTCCTTCAAGTTGTATGGGTTCCACTGGTGTACAGCAATCTTTAAGTCATACCACAGATTCTCAATTGGATTGAGGTCTGGCCTTTGACTAGGCCATTCCAAGACATTTAAATGTTTCCCCTTAAACCACTTGAGTGTTGCTTTAGCAGTATGCTTAGGGTCATTGGCCTGCTGGAAAGTAAACCTTCATCGCAGTCTCAAATCTCTGGAAGACTGAAACAGGTTTCCCTCAAGAATGTCCCTGTATTTAGCGCCATCCACCATTCCTGTTTCCCAGTCCCTGCCGATGAAAAACATCCCCACCGCATGATGCTGCCACCACCATGCTTCACTGTGGGGATGGTGTTCTCGGGGTGATAAGATGTGTTGGGTTGGCGCCAGACATGGTGTTTTCCTTGATGGCCAAAAAGCTCAATTTGAGTCTAATCTGACCAGAGTATCTTCTTCCATATGTTTGGGGAGTCTCCCACATGCCTTTTGGCGAACACCAAACGTGTTTGCTTATTTATTTCTTGAAGCAATGGCTTTTTTCTGGCCACTCTTCCGTAACACCCAGCTCTGTGGAGTGTACGGCTTAAAGTGGTCCTATGGACAGATACTCCAATCTCAGCTGTGGAGCTTTGCAGCTTCTTCAGGGTTATCTTTAGTCTCTTTGTTGCCTCTGATTAATGCCCTCCTTGCCTGGTCCTTGCCTGTTTGACCTCTTTGATGGGGCCCATGCCCACCTCTCTGACGGGCCCCTTGTCCATGAGCTCTTTGACTTCTTCCTCTCCCTTGCTGTCTATCCTACCACTATGTGAAATCAATTAGCAATAATGAGTGGTCATTATGTGTGGTTATCATGTATCATACATTAGATGTTTATACTTTACAAATACACATTTTATTTCTGTAGTTCTCAAAATCCATATACAGCAGACAAACCAGTTTAAAATCTATAGGTTTACCAACGGTTAAGTGATTAACCATTAAATCCAGTTGGATTAAGTGATGGTCAAATGTATTTAAACAAATGAGAAGAGAATCATATGAAACATATTGTGCATTGTATTGTGAAAGGCAGTTACTTTATATGAAAGGTATTTCTATATGAAACACTGATTAGGTTTGGTGAAAAAATGACTATGTGATTTTGTGTGTTGTACTTAGTCAATTTAAAATGTGCTTAAAGTTTTGAAAAAACTGCCTTTTTGATGATCTGTTTTGAGTTTTGTACTAAGAGTTGTGAGATTTTACCACATACGTGTGAAAATAGTGCCAAAGCGATAAGAAACTGTTCCTATATACAGTACCAGTCAAAAGTTTGGACACACCTACTCATTCCAGGGTTTTTCTTTATTTTTACTGTTTCTACATTGTATAATAATAGTGAAGACATGAAAACTATGAAATAACACATATGGAATCATGTAGTAACCAAAAAAAATTAGTAGTAGCCACCCTTCATGAGGTAATCACCTGGAATGCATTTCAATAAACAGGTGTTAATTTGTGGAATTTCTTTCCTTCTTAATGTATTTGAGACAATCAGTTGTGTTGTGACAAGGTAGGGGTGGTATACAGAAGATGGCCCTATTTGGTAAAAGGCCAAGTCCATATTATGGCAAAAACAGCTCAAATAAGCAAAGAGAAATGACAGTCCATTATTACTTTAAGACATGAAGGTCAGTCAATGTTTCTTCATGTGCAGTCGCAAAAACCATCAAGCGCTATGATGAAACTGGCTCTCATGAGGACCACCACAGGAAAGGAAGACCCAGAGTTACCTCTGTTGCAGAGGATAACTTCATTAGAGTTAACTGCACCTCAGACTGCAGCCCGAATAAATGCTTCACAGAGTTCAAGTAACAGACACATCTCAACATCAACTGTTCAGAGGAGACTGCGTGAATCATGCCTTCATGGTCGAATTGCTGCAAAGAAACCACTACTAAAGGACACCAATAAGAAGAAGAGACTTGTTTGGGCCAAGAAACACGAGCAATGGATATTAGACCGGTGGAAATCTGTCCTTTTGTCTGATGAGTCCAAATTTGAGATTTTTAGTTCCAACCACTGTGTCTTTGTGAGACACAGAGTAGGTGAATGGATCACCTCCTCATGTGTGGTACCCATCATGAAGCATGGAGGAGGAGGTGTGATGGTGTGGGGGTGCTTTGCTGATGACACTGTCTGTGATTTATTTAGAATTCAAGGCACACTTGACCAGCATGGCTACCACAGCATTCTGCAGCGATACGCCATCCCATCTGGTTTGCGCTTAGTGGGACTATCATTTGTTTTTCAACAGGACAATGACCCAAAACACACCTCCAGGCTGTGTAAGGGTATTTGACCAAGAAGGAGAGTGATTGAATGTTGCATCAGATGACCTGGCCTCCACAATCACCCAACCTCAACCCAATTGAGATGGTTTGGGATGAGTTGGACCGTGGAGTGAAGGAAAAGAAGCCAACAATGCTCAGCATATGTGGGAACTCCTTGTTGGAAAAGCATTCCTCATGAAGCTGGTTGAGAGAATTCCAAGAGTGTGCAAAGCTGTCATCAAGGAAAAGGGTGTCTACTTTGAAGAATCTAAAATACATTTAGATTTGTTTAAATTTTTTTTGGTTATTACATGATTCCATATGTGTTATTTCATAGTTTTGATGTCTTCACTATTATTCTACAATGTAGAAAATAGTTTTAAAAAATACATAGAAACCCTTGAATTAGTAGGTGTGTCCAAATATTTGACTGGTACTGTATATTACTCAAAGATCTTGTTAATCTTTTGTAAAATTATCTTGCAGCAGTGTAAAGTATAACAAGCATACACATTCAGAAAAGATTGAGACACGGATTTGACGCAACCAATGTAATATTGATTGTATGGTGCTCTTTATAGAAACATTTGTCACAAAGTGCTTAGCAAAAATCTAACTTTATCAGCTTGTATTTGTATAACAGCAACCAGAGCACCCATCGTGACTACACTGTGTCTCACTTACTGAATGTAAATCGCTCTGGAGAAGAGTGTCTGTTAAATGACCGAAATGTAATGTAAATCTACGTGTAGTCCACTTACCGAGGTCATTATATGCCCTGTAATGGAACAACAACAGACTTTCCTTAGAAATTGTAGGCTACTGTTAAAGCCTTGTTAGATTCCATTGATTCAACAGTAACTTAATTGATGCATCTTAAACATATTGCCAAGTGATGGAACAATAGAGTTCATCTTCCAGACCTCTGGTCAATGCCATGACACCTTTATGTAACACCCTACTTATTTTTTATTGCCATTTTTCTTTTCCTCAGGCGTTACTCTCTGGAGGCAGCCGTGTCATGTCTGTCACCAGTTCTGTGACCTTCGTACCTGTGTCTGCAGCCGCCCGGCCGGGCTTCAAGGCCTCGCCCACTATCGACGCCAAGCTGCCATACGACTTCTTCTTCCCTTTTGTGTGAACGACTGACAGACGGAAGAGTGGGCAGGTGTTGCGCACACACACACACACGAGAAACCGCGGCTATGTTTTAATATCCTCACCAGCATACGTCTTAGAATGCATGGTCAATACATTGCTTAATTCTTAGTGAAATGCTAGTGTGGATATTGGAACAGCGCCTCTCTTTAGTCACCTGGTACACTGACCAAAATGTATGGCAAAAAAACCCTGATATTGCACTGATGGTTCTCTGATGGCACTCAAATGCTGTTATTTATTTGTACATACTGTAGTTTAGATCAAATGAGATAGCTGGAGAATTCTTTTTTATTTTTAACAACATTTCATAATACTTTCACAGTGATTCATACTTGTATTGTCTTTGCATAGCAAGCAACAGTGGGATTCAGAAAAACAGCAAGATGCAACAAATTCATTACAGGATGTTATGTACAAAACATTAGCTGTCAATTCATTGCTTAACTGAGTAAAGGCATAGCACATAAATCCATATATATATATATATAAAATAAGACGTATGCTCATTGCAAAGTGGGATACTGGCATATGATATGAATCATACTAATCAATGAAATCTGATCAGCTTTTAAAATCTGCTTAAATATGCAGATAATGGTTGGAAGGTTGACCTAATCATGTGGAATCTATCTAGCCTGAGTGCCAGTCTTTGCTATCATACCAACTCCTTGTCATTCATTGTCATGCCAAATGTTTGGTTTGACAATGACAGCAATTGAGTTGGCAAGAGTACAAACAGGGACCTATCTATCTGGACAGTGTAAGCGCCTGTCATGGTGGAATTACTGACACAATTGGTGTATGGATGGTCAACACTTTTCAGAATATACCCTTGTTTATTGATCAATTCCAATAAAATGTTATAAGTGGATAATGAAAATGGCATCTTGTTCCTCTTCCTGCATCAGAACTCAATTGCATGCTGTCGCAGGAGAGCCCGTAGTTTACTGTTCTCTTGTTCCTAAAGAGGGGGAAGAGATTGAAGGGTGTGTTAAAACAGGGTCTACTGACTGACTGTAAGACACTCTGTATAAGAGTCTCTACTAAATGACCAAAATGTAAATATCTTGAAACTTGTCTTGGGCTGGTGGGGGTTTGGGTTCCCGGGGGCTGGCCAACTCACCGTCTTGCCGCTGCGCTCTTGTAGCTCATTAACTTGCAGGACCAGTTTATCATTGCTCTCCTTCAGCTTGTGAACTTTGTGATCGGCCCTTGTCTTCACAGACAACAGGATACCTGAGTTGTGGGAGAAAACATGAAATGTTGGACACAAACCCATTTTACAACATTGGTGACCTAGCTAGCCATGTGACAAAGGTTGTGTTCATTAGGGCATGCATTGGATAAAGCTTTAAAATGTTTCACAATGGAAAATGAAAATTAGTGTTTATTGGACATGTCCAGGGAGTCCCTCCTTTTGATGCCTAATGAACATGAACAGTGGGGAATCTCTCACCGTTGACTATCCTGGCCACCCTCCAGAGTCTGAGGAGGATCAGGAGGCCCATGGAGGCGTTAAAAGCATCTTCACTGGCTGTATACACAACATCCAGGATGAAGGACACAATCACCACCAGTCCGTCAAACACCTCAAACTTGTGATAGAAAAACTCAAGCTGGTAAGCAAAGAGCTTCCCAGCCAGCTCCACCATGAAGAAGGTGAGAAGAGCCAGACTCAGGTAGTGGAACACCTGGGGAAGACAGAAAGGACAGAAGAGTTGTTGTAGGAAGGTTTGGGTCACAGATTTTTTGGGCTGTGTCCCAAATGACAACCTATTCCCTATATAGTGCACTACATTTGACCAGGGCCCATAGGGTGTTATTTGGGACGCACATAAATTGTGTGATTTTGACAGACTAGTCACTAGACTAGCGTGTCCCAAACTCAGCCCTGGGGACCCCAAGGGCAGCACATTTTGGTTTTTGCCCTAGCACTACACTGCTGATTCAAATAATCACTGCTTGATAATGACTTGATTATTTGAAGCAGCTGTGTAGTGTTGTGGTCCCCAGGATCGAGTTTGGGAAACACTGCACTCTAGACTCTCTCACCTGAGGGGCAATGTGTCCATGCTCCAAATCGATGATTGACACGTCGATCAGTAGCTCGACCAGCACAAAGATGGCATCCAGGATGACCAGGCACACCACAACTATCTAAACCAGAGGCAAACGCTCATCAGAGAAGACCAACACCACAGTGATCCAAACCAGAGTGAAACACCCAACATCAGACAAGACCAACCTTCTGACAAGCATATGTGAGTTAATTTTACTGTCTCATATTTGCAGCCTAGACTGAAACACACACACACATATGTTCCCCATCCACAGTTGAAATTTGATTTGAGCAAAGGTAACATTTACTAGCTGTGTTGGATTGATAGTATGAGCATTGCCTACTCCACTCATATTCCATACCTGGAATCTGTTGGCGCTGTAGAGCCTCTTCAGGGAGTCTCTGAAGGTGAGTTCCCCCAGGGGCATCTGTCCTGTGGCTGGTCCCAGCTCCTCACTAGCCTCATGCAGCTCCTCATCCTGCCACTGGGTTGTGTGGTCATCACCTACCGTGGAGAAATGCTTCAGGTACTTGGACATGGTGATGCAGGGGGATGGGTGGCCCACCAAAAAGAGATTGTTTTCCTGCAAGATCATGTGGAAATTGGAGGTTAAAAGTTTTTAACTGAATGTAATTTAAAAATATCTAAAAGTCTCCTGTGCTGGAGGTGTCTCCCTGTTGCAACTTGTAATTAAACTGGATTGATTTTGATTAACTTTATCAATGACTGCTCTCCTTTTTGTTCACCTGGAAATTACTATTACAATATCGATGTACTGTATTCAAACATAATGCTCTCTCTATCTCTCACGCTCTCTCTACTAAGCTAACATATGGAATTGTTTTAAGATGGTCATACCATGGATCATTTAGCTATTTGATTTTAAATTTTAGGACCCCTACAGGTATCAAAAAAATATATACAAAAATAAATAGCAAAACAGACAGTCAACAAATAAATCAAAAGGTTTTGAAATGTCTGTCCTATATCTAGGAGATATAAGAAAGCTCAGGAAATATTTTAGTTTTTTGGACACATATTTAACCCATTTTTTCTGTTGGCACAAAACTACCTCCATACCTCCACACCATTTTTTTTGTGTGTACCGGTACCGGATTACCTTCAGATGAGTCCTGTGACACTTGTGGGGGTCATAGAGCAAAATGGAGAACACCATAGTGTTCGTGATATCCTCATCTTTCCATAGAGTGGTCATATTAGTTTGCCAAAGCTCATGACAAACACAGCTGTAGCTCAGCGACCTTCCACCGCAGATGCGGAAGGCGACATGGGCAGATGCGGTGTATTGCCCATGCAAAAAACAGATATCTCTAACTTAAATTGATGGATTTTGGTGGGATTTAATTTATTATGTTATTTAGATTGATGCATGTGTGCATCAATAGACTCTTAAGGATATTAACACTTTCAAATGTCACAAGTTTGTCTGAGGTACATTAACACAATATAACTATATTGTTTACTGTTTATCCAAGGCTTTACACTAATTTCCTAACATTGACATTGTTAGTATAACCAATTTACTAGCATTAACATGAGGTTCATATTTTCCCCAGCTGGATTTCTGCAAACACACGTTGAAATACATCTTTTATAAACCATAATATTGTCATATACACAAAGAATAGGCAACCTATTGTAACTTACCTGCCTCCTTAAAGTATATGAACGACTACTCAACAGTCAGGATGAATTGGCACTTATGTGTTTCACAGCTGTGTATTGTACAATATTAGTATACTTCTCCTTTTAAACATTGCAAAACCATGCAAGATGTTAACAAACCAAACCCTCTTTCTCAAGATGCAAGTCAACTGTGTGTGGCCAACCCATGTAGAATTTCCTAAAAAAAAATCTAGACCAATACAGATTTTATCATTACAATAGATATTTTATTGTTTATTCTGCCTTGCAATTGCCAAGTGCCTGATATAATTGATTTTGTAGCCAAAGCTTTAATAACTTTAGTGATCATGGTCAACAAATGGTTTTAACAATATAACGCGTGTAAAATACACTAAACAAAAATATAAATGCAACATGTAAAGTGTTGGTCCCATGTTTCATGAGCTGAAATAAAACAACCCAGAAATTTGCTATACGCACAAAAACCTTTTATTTCTCTCAAATTTGGTGCACAAATTTGTTTACATCCCTGTTAGTGAGCATTTCTCCTTTGCCAAGATAATCCATCCACCTGACAGGTGTGGCATATCAAAAAGCTGATTCAACAGCATGGTCATTACACAGGTGCACCTTGTGCTGGGGACAATAAAAGGCCACTCTAAAATGTGCAGTTTTGTCACACAACACAATGCCACAGATGTCGCAAGTTTTGAGGGAGCGTGCAATTGGCATGCTGACTGCAGGAATGTCCACCAGAGCTATTGCCATAAGCTGCCTCCAACGTTGTTTTAGAGAATTTGGCAGTACGTCCAACCGGCTTCACAACCTCAGACCACGTATATGGCGTTGTGTGGGTGAGCGGTTTGCTGATGTCAACGTTGTGAACAGACTGCCCCATGGTGCTGATGGGGTTATGGTATGGGCAGGCATAAGCTACGGACAACGATCACAATTGCATTTTATCGATATCAATTTGAATGCACAGAGATACCGTGACAAGATCCTGAGGCCCATTGTCGTGCCATTCATCCGCCGCCATCACATCCTGTTTTAGCATGATAATGCACGGCCCCATGTCGCAAGTATCTGTACACAATTCCTGGAAGCTGAAAATGTCCCAGTTCTTCCATGGTCTGCATACTCACTAGACATGTCACCCATTGAGCATGTTTGGGATGCTTTGGATCGACATGTACGACAGCGTGTTCCAGTTGCCGCCAATATCCAGCAACTTCGCACAGACATTGAAGAGGAGTCGGAAAACATTCCACATGCCACAATCAACAGCCTGATCAACTCTATGCGAAGGAGATGTGGTTGTCACACCAGATACTGACTGGTTTTCTGATCCACGCCCCTACCTTTTTAAGGTATCTGTGACCAACACATGCATATCTGTATTCCCAGTCATGTGTAATCCATAGATTATGGCCTAATTTATTTATTTCTATTGACATTTCCTTATATGAACTGTAACTCAGTAAAATCATTGAAATTGTTGCATGTTGCGTTTATATTTTTGTTCAGTATAGTAGGCTAGTAATAAGCCTAAAAGCCAACAATTATATAGGCTGGTCACAGATCTGTTTGTGTTATCATGTCAACTCCTTGTCATGCCAGGAGTGACAGAGTTGACATGACAACACTTTACAGATCGCTATCAATTCGAGGTCAGTTGAGGCCACGTGTCATCTTGAACCACGTAGAACTATAGTATTTGTTGGCAACAATGTTTCTGAATGCTGAGCAACAACACTCATGGGGCACCCCAGCTAACAATTTTAGGGAGAGTGAACGTTTTTGTAATGTTACCCGTAAAGCTCCCGTAATGTTTGAGTGTCCAGTTTTCCATTAGTTATGGGACATTCTATAGCAAAAACCTTTTTGAAAACCATTTTAGCATGTGTTGTTGTTAGTTAGGAAAACATTCCCTTAATGTCAAACAGAACATACCCAGAACGTGGTTACCATGTTCTCAGAATATACAATATTAATGTTCTAGAAATGTTTCATGGGACGTTGCAAGAACATTCATGTAACCAGTTTTCTGAGGGTTAGGAGAATATTCCATCAACGTCCCACTAAACATACACAGAACATGGTTGCCATGTTCTCAGAACATAACATATTAACTAGGGAGGAGGGGGAAGGGTTTTTTCTGGACAAGACAGGGCCTTACTATACTGGCCCAATAAGCACATGTCCTAGAGATATCCCTTATTGGGACAGTGGATAGGGCATTCTTCATTGGTGCTGGTGGCCTCTGTTCCGGACCCATTAGGGGAATCACTGTACTCTCACATACTTAGCAAAATATGTTGATGTCATTATTTGGCAACAGTTACAACACACCTATCTGATATAATTAAAATGAGTTTCCCATTGAAAGATGGGAACCTGTAGGATATCCCCTTGAGCACGAATTATGACCCCATTTCCACTACCTAATATAAATTATTTATTCTATATCGCTGAGCATCTTAAAGGGAACTATCGTCTTTAAAAAATCTACACAACATATGCAATGTAGAACAAACCTGTCATTGACAAACTAATTTTAATTAGATCAGATATGTGTGTTGTAACTGTTCCAAAATAATGACATTAACATACAGTGGGGGAAAAAAGTATTTAGTCAGCCACCAATTGTGCAAGTTCTCCCACTTAAAAAGATGAGCGAGGCCTGTAATTTTCATCATAGGTACACGTCAACTATGACAGACAAATTGAGAAAAAAAAATCCAGAAAATCACATTGTAGGATTTTTTATGAATTTATTTGCAAATGATGGTGGAAAATAAGTATTTGGTCACCTACAAACAAGCAAGATTTCTGGCTCTCACAGGCCTGTAACTTCTTCTTTAAGAGGCTCCTCTGTCCTCCACTCGTTACCTGTATTAATGACACCTGTTTGAACTTGTTATCAGTATAAAAGACACCTGTCCACAACCTCAAACAGTCACACTCCAAACTCCACTATGGCCAAGACCAAAGAGCTGTCAAAGGACACCAGAAACTAAATTGTAGACCTGCACCAGGCTGGGAAGACTGAATCTGCAATAGGTAAGCAGCTTGGTTTGAAGAAATCAACTGTGGGAGCAATTATTGGGAAATGGAAGACATACAAGACCACTGATAATCTCCCTCGATCTGGGGCTCCACGCAAGATCTCACCCCGTGGGGTCAAAATGATCACAAGAACGGTGAGCAAAAATCCCAGAACCACACGGGGGGACCTAGTGAATGACCTGCAGAGAGCTGGGACCAAAGTAACAAAGCCTACCATCAGTAACACACTACGCCGCCAGGGACTAAAATCCTGCAGTGCCAGACGTGTCCCCCTGCTTAAGCCAGTACATGTCCAGGCCCGTCTGAAGTTTGCTAGAGTGCATTTGGATGATCCAGAAGAGGATTGGGAGAATGTCATATGGTCAGATGAAACCAAAATAGAACTTTTTGGTAAAAACTCAACTCGTTGTGTTTGGAGGACAAAGAATGCTGAGTTGCATCCAAAGAACACCATACCTACTGTGAAGAATGGGGGCGGAAACATCATGCTTTGGGGCTGTTTTTCTGCAAAGGGACCAGGACGACTGATCCGTGTAAAGGAAAGAATGAATGGGGCCGTGTATCGTGAGATTTTGAGTGAAAACCTCCTTCCATCAGCAAGGGCATTGAAGATGAAACGTGGCTGGGTCTTTCAGCATGACAATGATCCCAAACACACCGCCCGGGCAATGAAGGAGTGAGAAGCATTTCAAGGTCCTGGAGTGGCCTAGCCAGTCTCCAGATCACAACCCCATAGAAAATCTTTGGAGGGAGTTGAAAGTCCGTGTTGCCCAGCGACAGCCCCAAAACATCACTGCTCTAGAGGAGATCTGCATGGAGGAATGGGCCAAAATACCAGCAACAGTGTGTGAAAACCTTGTGAAGACTTACAGAAAACGTTTGACCTGTGTCATTGCCAACAAAGG